GGCTCTTTGTGGACAGCGCCGTGTCTTAACATTGTGTTAACAGTGCTTAGTATAACGTCTTCTATACTAATGTTTGCTGAATGATCTGTTTGAAATGACAGTATGGGTTAGGGAGTGAGAATGAGTCTTGGTTCTTGATGGTCCTCAATAGCATACCTAATGTTTTTATCTAAAGATGTTGTGAAGTGTTTTATTTGAAGATGTATGTGATGAGTTATTAACCTAACATTTCCAGTTCCATGATCTTTTTTCTTTAACAGCTATGCATTCAAAACCTTCCTGAGAGAGAGATTAAGTAATTTGGTGAAGATTGCTTGGAAGTGTCAGAGCTTGGAATCAAACCTGTGTCTGAGTTGGAAAAGTTTCTTGTAACCACTCTGCTTTGCATCTTTTCTCAATTATAGCACCAAATTGTTAAGGCCAAAACTGAGGCTATTTAGAGTCATCATGGCTTATTATTAGACTCAAAATTTTCTTGTGATATTTATATTATGTTTGATTACTGATAGCTAGAACCTTAGTTTCATAAAATTAGGGGTAATATGCCCTTATATAGTTAATGCAATGTTTTAAACTTTGCTATGGTTTCTGGGGAAAGCTCACTGTATAATGGATTGACCCTTCTCTGTGTTTCTTTCCATTTTCTCTCTCTAGACATTCTCATATAACTAATCTATATGTCTGTGTTATGTGAGTAGGTGTACATATAATTAAAACACAGAAAGGAAATAGGCCACCAAGATATTTACTGTTACATGCTACAAATCAAATTTTAGAACCAAATGAAATACAAGCGATAGTTTGATGTATACCTTATGATGACATGAGGATTTGTGAAATTACTGCAGTTTTTTTCCTCAAGTGTTTTAATCTCAAACTCATTATATATGAAGCACTAGTTGGAGTCCAGGGTAATGAGGTAGAATGTAAAACACTTAAGAGGTGTCTTATTGCTGTTGTGAAGAAACTCATAACCTGGTAAAAAGTAGGAAAACCCAATTGAAAAAAACAAGTAACTGTAGCAGTATAACATTTTATAATGCAATTTGTGATTCATTTCAAATTAATTACAGCTGTTGTAGGAATTCAGGAATAGGAACAAAGTCATCTAGGTTGACATCAATGGTTAATCTGGTTCGGTTTTGTGTGTGTGTGTGTTTTATCTATGGTTTTTAAAGGGTGTTTAGAATTTGCAGGGGGTGAGCACAAGTGATGAAACATACTGTTTTCTTATGGACAGAATTTCTAGGTGTTAACTATGAAAACATCTGTCATTATAAAGAAGTGTGTAAGATGATATAATCTGCTTTCTCTGTGTGACATACAAGGTTCCTTTTTGGTCTGATTTCTGCTTACCTCACCAGCCTAATCTCTCATTGCTTCTCTCAGGTACTATTAGCCAGCTCCTCCAAAGTTTCCTGTTCTCTTTTGCCTCCTGGGCTTTGGGTATGTTGTGCCTTCTGCTTGGATCACTGCTTCTTTACTTGATTGTCTTCTTTTCATCTTTTCAGGCTCAGATTTATATATGTATTATATATAAATATTATGCTGTTTATGTTTATATTATGAGATTTATATATAATATGTATATAATATACATAATTATGTAAATGTATATATTACTTTTTAGGAAGCCTTTCACCTTGCAAAAACTAAATTAGATACCCCTCCTGAATGTTCCTATAGCATCCTAACTTTATCTAATCCCACCATAATTTCCAATTTGTCACTAGGAAGTAAGCAAGCTTCTTGAGGTTAGAATCTTAACTAACCCCCCCCCCACCACCACCACTGCTGTATCCTCAGTGCCCTAAAGCATTTTTAATAAATATCTGTTGAGTAGGAAAATCTGTTTGAGGTTAGGCCAATAATCCCCTTGTAGGTGTTCCGTAAATATCATCTAACAGATGTGTTTATTTCATTAAAATAGTTTATATTGACAGTTCTAAACTGTTTTAACTGAGATAATATAACCATCTATATCACCATCTTGGTATACAATGAAATAGTTTCTGTACAGTGAACTTTCAGAGCATATTTATCTTAGCATTTTAGATTTTCCTTTATGTCTTTTTATTGAGTGTGCCTATGAATACTGCTATACCAGCTGTTTCTGGTGTATGTGTGAGGGAGTGTATTTGTATGTTACATGCTTTTCTAAACCAGGTATTTTTATCCTGGTTTGTTTTAGGTCTGTCTCTTGTAAGCCACATTTATCCAGATTTTATTTTTTTGTATTCATTTTGATCATTTCTGCTGCTTTTAGTAGGTTGTTTTAATCTGTTTACATTTATTACAATGACTGATACATTCAGACTTATTTCTATAATTTTGGTGTGGCTTTATAAATTTTTTTTCTTTTCATGTGCTTGTCTTCAGTTGGATAATAGTTTTTATTTAATTTTTCCTCTGCTTTGTGGAATGCTGAAGATTATATTTCTGGTTTTTGGAGGGGTGTACATCAGTAAGTATTTTGGATACATAGTTAATTTTGCCAATATCTAGAGTTCTTAAACATTTTTTGTGCCTATTTATATCAAAGTCCTTAGCATGCTTTATGCTGTTTTTAGAGTTTGAGTTCTACATTTTTTTTAAACCCTCAGAAATTAACTTTTAAATGATTCATAGTTACCGTCCTATCAATTTCTGTAGTAGCTTGTTTCATATAGTCCATGGGTCTCCTCTGTGTCCATTTTTCTTCTTGATGAATTGCATTTTTTAATAGCTCATTAAAAGATGGTGAATTTTCTTAGCCTTTATATGTCTCAAGAATCCTTTTCCTTTATTTGTTTATTTTAATGAAAGGGAGGGAGGGTGAATAGGGGCAGAAGGACAGAGAGGGAGAGAGAGAGGATACTAAGCAAACTCCACCCCAGAGCAGAGCCCAACCTGGGGCTCAGTCTCACAACCCACAACCCTGAGATTGTGACCTGAGCCGAAATAAGAGTCAGACACATAACTGACTGAGCCACCCAGGTGCCCACTCTTCCTCCACTCTTGATTGATGGGTTGGCTGCATATAAAATTCTAGATAGTTACTTTTCCTCAGCTTTTCCCTCCATTGGCTTCTGACCTTTATTACACCTTCTGAGAAGTTGGCTCTGTCATTCCGTCGAAGTAATCTGGTTTTTTTTTTGTTTGTTTGTTTTTCCTCTGGTAGCTTTTAATATTCTTTTTATTGTATGGAATTTCACTACAGTGTATCTAATGTGGATTCATACAGTCTGATACTTTTTTTCTGCTAATTTTTTTTAGTGAGGTATAAATTGCATAAAGCATAATAAGCTCAATTAATTTTTACTTGCACATATAACCAGGTTACCACCCCCAGTCAAGATACAGTTATTTTCAGGCAAGCTACAAGGCTCCCAGTGCCCTCTTCTAGGCAATACATCCTAGGTTACAATTATTCTAAACTCATTCAGAGCTCCTTCATGTTGAGGATATGTATTTCTTTTCCATTGTAGAAAATTATCAGCAATTTTCTTTTCATGTATTGCTTTGCCACTCTTCCCTCCAGTCTTGCCCTGGAAAATCCATTTGACAGAATAAACATTGCAGCTTCTGTCTGTGTCTCTTACTGCTCTCTTCTATTTTTAACCTTTTTCTCTGCCTATAGTCAATTCAAGGTAGTTCCTTAATGCTGCCTGTAATTTACTACTTCAGTTCACTATGTCCAGTCTAGATAGTACATCCCATTGTTTCTTTTTATTTCGATGACTATATTTTTCATTTCCAAAATTTTCTATTTTTCTTCCTATGTGATGTCATTTTGTTTCATTTCTGTACATTGTTTTTTATCTCTTATTCTTGTGATGGATCTTTTATCTCCATTTTGTATTTCTAAACATCCTCAAATACTTATTTAAAAATCTCTGAGAGGTTGCACTCAGTAAATTGCATCTGAAACAAATTTCTGTTTCCATTATTGGTTTTTGTGGTTTTCTTTCTTAGCATTAAATTTTTTGGAGTGTTTTTGGAACTTTGTCATTTCTTTTTCAGCAGAAGGCTTTTCATTTGTGTTTCAGTGTCTTCCCATCCACCTCCATTCTCACCCTCTCCCCACACCCAGTCTAGGGATTTTGCTATTGATTTTGGAGATATCCGGAGGTGCAGTATAATGGAGCTAGAGGGTGGCTTGGCTCAGATTCTGGAATTGAGGTGGTGGTTTTGTTCCCCACTTTCCTAGACCTACAGTTCTGATTAAAGTCATAGTCCTAGTCAACAGGTCTTGATTGCTGCCTCTGTCAGCCTCCTGTTATGAGTGGGGGCACTGACCCAGCCCGAGCCTTAAGGGGAGATTCTGATTTGCATCCCTGTCTTCAGCAAATCACTTAGCTCTCTTTATTCCAAAAGAAACTGTTGCATTCTCACTGCTAACCACCCCCACCTGTTTCTAGATCCAGAAACAGCAAGTCAGGTCTTGCTTAACATTTTTGTTTCCATACTGCTTCTGTTGCACAGAAATGTTTCTTATTTGACCTCAGTTGTGTCTTTGACATTGTCTTTGTTTAATATGCCTTATTATTTATGTTTTACAGTGCCAACAGGGTTTCTGAACTTACCCTACAATGTTAACTCAGAAGTGCTATTAATTGTAAAACTTTTCTCTTTGTGGGATAATAGTCAAAATATATTAAAAAGAAAGAAATGGGTCCAGAATTGATTTGTGGATGAAAATATGCATTTGTTGCTATTGTTTCTAAAATGTGATTTCATTTTTAATACCTGCTCAATGATCTTTTGTAGTTTTTTTTTATTATAACAAATGTAGTTTATGTCCACTATAGACCTTTTGGAAAATATAACAAACCATACATAAAGACACATACAAGCACATACTTACATAGTGAGAATTACTTATAATTCTACAACCCAGAGCTAGCTACCGAATATTTTGGTATTCATTTTTCGTGTTTTATGTACTTAACACACACTCCAGCCCATATACTAATATTCATATTTTAAAAAAACAAAACAAACCCAGTCTTGTTTTGTAGGTGAAGCTGTGAGTACTGGAGATGCCTTATGTGAAATAGAGACTGACAAAGCTGTGGTTACCTTAGATGCAAGTGATGATGGCATCTTGGCCAAAATAGTGGTAAGTTTTCATTTTGATTGTCTTCAACGGGATGAAGATCTCTAACATGTGAAGTTCCTTGAATTAAAGTCACCTTTTATTTTCAGTAGTGTATTTATAGTGTTGTGTTCTCTGAATCTACATAGTATATTTTTAATTCAGATGTTTAAAATATTCTAGTCTGAAGGTCTGAGAATAGCCAGTGATGATCAGGCAACATAGAAATATTTCAGCCTGACAGTGGTGCTCAGTATTTTGGGTTCCCTAGTGGAAAATGAGAACCATTCTGGCCTGGGAAGAGAGAAGGCTCTTTGAGGGAGAATTTGAAGACAAAGCAATAGATTAAAGCTTAGAGCTAGCAATTTCTAAATATGTAGTTGGTAAAATCAGAAAGAAAGAGTGTTTTAGTCTTATCACATGAAACCAAGAAACCCTATCTTCATCTATCCCCTTCGTCTATCTACTCCCAGGATTAGAAGTGTGTAAAGTGACCATCTGTTCAGCTTTTGTTCTCTTAAGTTGTCCTGTGCAGGTTCTTGTCTGCAGGTTTCATAGCCACATTCAATGGCCCTGTCCAGTTCTGACTTATCCTTACAGTTTGGACATTTTTGTAATCATTTAAAAATGTATCAATATAAAAATATATGTTTTAGAATATTCCACATACTCGAGTATAGTTGAATGTCTTGTCTGTTGATAGTATATTTTCTGTTTTGTGAGCTTTTTAATGGAAAATAGGCTTGTGGGTTTAGCAAGACCAAAGTCATTTCCTTTGTGATCTAAATTTAAAAATATGCAGTAATTTTAAATACTCTTCTCTGGGTAATCTTTACTTTATAACTAATTTAAAATATAGAGCTATACCTTGATCTGCAATGGTATAGCTAGAAGCAGAAGCCATTAATACAGACCTTTAGTCAAAATGTCTAGCAATAAAAGAAAGGTTAACAGAGAAGAAGAAAATGTGGAATATCATGTAGCTGTTAGAAATTGTTTCTAGGAAAAAATGTAATTTCTTTACATGATGTTATACATCAATAAAAATTCAAAAATTTTTTGAAAAAATGCATTTAAAATTGTGTATGGGTAATGATTATAATCTCATAGGATTTTAAAGAAAAATATATATAGGAAAGATTAGAATAAAGTTATAAAAATGTCAGTTCTTGGAAGATGGAACTAAATGATCCTCCTACCCTATATTTTCTATTTTACTCTATTGTCTAAATATTCTATAATAGCTATTTTGTTTTTATAATGAAATAATTAGAATTTATATGAGAATTGAAATGCTAAACCCTATTTAGGGTTGCATGGTATATTCACTGATGGATTGTTTCTTAACTTCTAGAACATGTAATAGTATGTTGTAGGAGCTAAGATTGTAGGCTCTGGAGTTACCCCACTGCCTGATTCATAGAGTTAATAAGTTCTGCTGGTTATTAGTTATGTAATGATTGGCAAATTCTTTTTTTTAAGGTTTATTTAATTTAGAGAGAGAGCACAAGCAGGGGGAGGGGGTGGGAGAGGGAGAGAGAGAATCTCAAGCAGACTCCACACTGACTGTGAAACCCAACGTGGGGCTCAATCGCACAATCCTGAGATCATGACCTGAGCCAAAACCAAGTTGGACACTCAACCGAGTGGGGCACTCAGGTGCCACCTCCACCTGTGATTGGCAAATTCTTTAATCTCTCTGTGCCTTTTTCTTCATAATAAAATAGAGATTGTAATATCTGCGCCATGGGGCAGTAATAGAGATTGAGAATAATCTGTATACGCTCATTATAAGACCCGTCATCCACCAAGCATTGATAAATATTGCTACTTTCATTATTATAATTACTCAGCTCTTAGTGACTATTAATCCCCATGTCAATTTGTATGTTCATCTAAATAATTTGTAATTGGTTGTTTGCAACTGAACAGTAAGTATCCATTTGTGTCTCTGTAGTTTGATTTGGAGGAGACACTGCATATCTCTTTTTAATTTTGATTAAAACCAGCTCACCTCTGTTTTGAGAATGGATACAGCACCTTCCTTTGTACATTTTATCCAAAGACTACACTTTGGAATGTTATAGCCTAATTAGATATAGATCTGTATACAGTTTTTCATTTGTGTTTCTTACTAGAAAATCCTTTCTGTTTTTTTCTAGTCACTTATATGTTGCTTTTTACCTTCTAATTATCAAAACTTCTTTGTAGATTCTCATCTACAATATTAACAGCCATGTTAAAACATATTGTTGAAAATACTTCCTTAGAGGAAATACGAATGGAAAGCTAAAATTTCTATACCTTCATAACAAGGAAAATATATTCATACCAAAAACAGTTTCAACTAATTTATGCAGCATTTTGACAAAAGGAAATGATTGTTTGAATTACCATGTGTAATGCACCCAGCTACATTTTGGACCATTGTGTGCATTCGGCAAGCTGTGTTCTTGGCCCTAGCTCTGGGTTGTTTGACTATGAAAGTCTTCCAGAATTGATAGCTTTTCCCAGTTAGCTGCTTCATAATGCATTTCAGATTGTTAACAGTGTTATAGGTCAGTAGTGCCTATTCATCTGGCCTCTAATGCTCTGAAAAGGCAGGGGGCTGAGAGGGAGATATGATTGATAAGGGCTTTTAGCAGCACAAATGGCTATTTCCTTGTCAAAGAAAAGATTGTGTATTTTAGGGCTTTATGGCTTTCATATTATTCCACATGTGTTTTGAATAATAGGAATGGGAGCATATTCATGTCACAATGTAACAGTTTTATGGATTAAAAGAAAAAAACAAGGTGATATTAGGTGATATTATTGGGTTTTTTAGTCTTTTACCATACTCTGCACTCAGCCCTTCCACTGCCGTGCAAGTTATACCTTTGTCTTTCTTTGTGGAATATTCCTCATTTGAGTACACATAATAAACTGATTTTAGTAAGAATATAGAGAGAGATCTTTACTTTGAAAATCAATGAGTTGGAAATTGATCTTTTTATAAAAGGCAAGTGATCATATAAAACTCTAGCTTTTAGCTTGCACACATTTTTGAAACCATTAGCAATTATTACGTATCTTGCTCTTCATGGAGATTTATTTACATAGGCTTTGAAAGGTTTTAGTATTGTTCACCTCCCCCTGCCCAATTTCATATCTCTTTGTTCTCATTAGTAATTTTTGTATCTGGATTTCCATTTTAGATATAAAATATTTATTACATTTCAGTTAGATCCAGAAACAGGCTTAGAAGCTTTTAATAATGTTAATAAAGAATAATTGCTGTTAGATTATTTTATGATTCATTTCCAGTTTAGTTCAGTTAATGAGAAAGCTGTTAATATCTTATTTAGCCACTAGTACAGATAACCTTAAATTTTTACATATGTACCAGTTCATAAGCTTAGTCTTAAATTTATTCAGAAAATTGTATAGCAGGTGTTTTGGGGTGGTTTTTTTTTTTTTAAGATTTTATTTATTTTTTCATGAGTGACACAGAGAGGCAGAGTCCTAGGCAGAGGGAGACGTAGGCTTCCTGCAGGGAGCCAGAGCCGGGACTTGATCCCAGGACCCTGGGGTCATGGCCCAAGCCAAAGGCAGATAGACATTCAACCACTGAGCCACCCAGATGCCCCAATAGCAGGTATTTTAAATGTTAAGTCAATAAAGTAGAATATTAGGATGACATATCTGGAGTTTTTGGTTTTATTTTTGGTGGAGAGGAGGGGCAGAGAGAGGGGAAGAGAGAACCTTAATGATTGAGCCCAATGTAGGACTCAATCTCACAACCCAGAAATCATAGCCTGAGCTGAAATCAAGAGTTAGACACTAACCGGCTAAGCCACTCAGGCACCCCTATTTGGAGAGTTTATTGAGGATTGTCTGGTTTGGCTTCTACCATATGTAGGGTTACTATATGATTTATTACAAACGAGGATGTTTTTGAGGGTGAAAAGGGTTAAGATTATTTAAACTTACGTAAGTTTCTGAAATTTTAATTTATTGACTGGCAAAACATTAATTGATAGGTTTTTATTACGTTGATAGACCATTATTATTCAAAATAATTTTCAAGAATACAATTCTTTCTGAAAACTAAAATCCACGGATAGGAAAACAAAAAACTTCCATTAGGAGCTCCTGGCTGGCTGTGAGTTGGTGGCACATGTGACTCTTGATCTCTGGGTCGTGAGTTCAAGCTTCATGTTGGGCATAGAGCTTAAAAAAAGAAATGTTTCCTTTTGTTGATCATCCTAAAATTAAAAAACAGCAAAAAATATATATTTTTGGTAACTTTCATGTTGTTCAATCAATTTCTTAGCTGCATCTCACTCTAATACTATCACTGGTGTTTCTCTAAAGAATGTATTTTTTTTTTTAAGAATGTATTTTTTCAACATGGTTTTATTGTTAGGTCCCTTTTCCCCCCTTATTTTTCATTAAATTGCCTGGTCACCTTCAAAGTTGCATTTCATTGTTCGAAAGTTGATGGTTGAAATTTGAAGTTGTGCGACCTTCAGTTGATTCTCCTCTGTAGACTATAACATTCTTAATTGAGAAAACCCTCAAAGCTCAGAGCAAATTCTACTAAGTGGGAAATATTCTCAGTTCTAATTTTTTCATGTTGAACTGAGTGAATGACATTGAAGTGGTAAATGAGTCTGTGTTTCCCATGAATTAAAAGCTAAATAAATTATAATTCAGTCTATATCTTCTTCTCTGTTAGGCTTGTTTTTTAAAGTAGGAGCATGATGTTGAACTGCTATGTGATCATCTTTTTTCTGTGAGTGCAGTTTTTACAGATTTGGTACTTGGCATGTTGAATGCTTACCTGTAATGTTGGACTGCATTTGAATCCTGGCTTGGATACCTACTGGCCTTATAATCTTGAACAAGTCATTTAACCTTTCTGTGCTTCACTTTCCTCATCTATACATAAATAGTGCACATACTAATAAGCATCAAATTTAATGTTAATCAGGAATGCCAAGCCCAATTTAGAAGTTACACTCTTATTTATAATAACTTTATTAGCGAATATCCTGTAGCCTCTCATTCTAGTATTCATTAAATTACATCTGCAATGAACTTTATTTAATGTAATTGAAAGAGAATAATAAAAATTTTAAAGATATGACATTTTCTTCTAGAGCTGAACTTAAAAACATTGTCATCTGAAGGTTCTCTAGGGACTTCTCTTACTAAGCAAATAAAAAACAACCCTTTCTTTATAAATTAATGTTGCTGAAATGTTTGAAATACATACACTTTTTAAAGAAAACTTCAATCTTATTTATCCTTTTAATTGGCATTATCTATGAAAAATTGATTAGCTGAGACACCACCGTGTTTTTGATGTACTTGTAAAAATTCATGGGATTGTATTTTATATCTCAGGTTTTATAAATAGATACATAGGAAAAAAATTAAGTATAAGGAAAGAGAAATCAACATTAGCCAGAGTAGTTAACCAAGACTGTTTATATGATGGGATATACTTTTTTCCAGCGACTAAGTTTACTGAACATATTTAACATTGATGTTAGTAATAGGATTAATTTTGGGTACTTAATTCCTTGTGAGCTCTTGGAATTCCTGAGCCATCATACAGAAACTATCTGGGAAAGACAAATAGTTGAAGTATGAAACCACAGTCTCCTGTTTGTCCTGATTGACATCAGAAGGAAGATGGTAATGATTGCTCTTAAATATTTGAAAGCTGTCAGAGGAGAAATTCTAGATTTTTTATTTCAGGATGTACCATTAATAACTGGGATGGGGAAAGTGGTGAAGAAAGGGGGAAAGTAAGCAAGGATAGTGGCAGGTGGAAGGAGGAGGCAGGCTGACTTAAAAGCAGATTTTACCTCAAGTTAAGAGATCTTTCTAATTAATACAGAATTACCTAAACTACTTCATATGGTCATAAGCCTTTCCATCTCTGCAATTATTTTCTTTTTAAAATATAGGTTGAAGAAGGATCTAAAAATATACGGCTAGGTTCACTAATTGGTTTGCTAGTTGAAGAAGGAGAAGATTGGAAACATGTTGAAATCCCCAAAGATGAAGGTCCTCCATCACCAGCTTCAAAACCGTCAGTGCCTTCCCCCTCACCCGAACCACAGATTTCTACTCCTGTCAAAAAGGAACACATACTGGGAAAACTGCAGTAAGTATGTTTATTTGGAATGCTGATTTAAAAAAAGAAAAAAATGTTAAAGCAGCTTTTAGGATATTTTAGTCATTACCATATTTAAAACATCTTTGCACCTTATGTAGGAAGTGGCTGATCTTCCCTTTTTCCCTTAGGTGACTGAGATCTGGGAATGATTATTTTCCTTTCGTTCATTCAACAAATAAGTAGTTATTGAATACCTGCCATGTTCCAGGTGGTGTGAAAGCCCTGCTCAGCCAGCTGAGATCAAAGCAAACAGTCTGTGTCCATGTTGAATTTGAAGTCCAGTTTTAGGATTCTGAAGTTTGGTTCATTGGGGTTCAATGAACCAAACTTCAGAGCATGTTTCCACCCATGGAATTCTAGTTACCGCAGTGTGAATTCCGGTTTTATACATATAACTGACAAAATGGAGTTAGCATCTTACCATGCATGCCTTTATGGCCATTCTTCATTTGAGTGTCTGATACAGATTTGAGGATTTGAGCCCAGTTTTGTCCCTGTATAACACAGGTACTTGGTGCATACCATTTTACTTCAGCTTTACATGGCTTTAATTGACGGAGTCTGAAGATTTTATTTTAATAAGTTCATGCATTTAACATTCTCCACAATCACAAAATTACTTTTCCTTTATAAGAAGAAGCTCTTCATGGAGGAAAGTCTTCTTAAGAACCACTTTTGAACTTGAATAAAAATGCATACGGTTTCAAATCTTTTCCTTCAGTTCACCAGTCCATTCTTGTCAGTGTTCTTGAAATGCTGAGTTAATAAATTTCCATGCCCACACATAGCATTTCTCACTGCATTGCTTTAACTTCCCTTTATTTTCTCTTCTTTACCATGGAAATCATAAGGCGGGGTAATGAATGTACTTAACTACTCTTCTCCTTTTGCAGAGATCATAGTGTGTGCTCTGTCATTCTGTGAAGATTCATCACTAGAGACTTAATGAGTGTGTGGCCCCGAAGTGTAGGTTTAAAAACGAGCAGACCTGGAGTGCCTGGATGCCTCAGTTGGTTAAGAATCTGACTCTTGATCTCAGCTCAGGTCTTGATCTCAGGGTTGTGAGTTCATGCCCTCCATTGGGCTCCACACTGGATATGGAGCCTTAAAAAAAGCCAGCAGACCTGTGAACTGCACATTATTGGCCCATACAGTGATTTTTTTAAAATAAATTTTTTGAATTGTTTGTAGTTAATTTTACATTTAAAAAAATCTAAAATTTCAGTTTCATCTGAAAAATCTGAGGATTTGATGGCACTGAGCCCATATCACCTAGAGCTATTTATCTGAAATGCAGCAAGTACCACATTTGTTCTTCTCCATTTCTTGGTTATAAACTTCTGGACCCAACCCCTTTGACTCATTTTCTTTATTTGACTGTATAGTCATTGTATTTGCTGCTTTGCCTAAAGGTCTCAGTCAAAGAGTAGATACTTAGTAGTTGTGTCACCTTTTGGTATATTTCAGTTTCCATGTCTAACAATCAACCTAAGTTTCTGCCTCTTACTCTTTTGGAGTATATGTAATGTAAAAATGTTTTCATGTAAATAATAATGAGTTTTTAAAATATATGAAGGCTACAGTTCAGCAACAAAACAACCCAATTAAAATAGGCAAAGTACTCAGATAATACATTTTGTCCAAAGAAGATGCATGAATAGCCAATAAACATGAAAAAATGCTTAGTGTCACTAGTCATTAGGAAATTGCTAATCAGTATCACAATGAGCTACCACTTTTTCATTGGATTGGCTGCTGTTAATAATAAGTGTTGATGGATGTATCAAGAAATTAGAACCTTTGTGCACCATTGGTGGGAATGTAAATTGGTGCAGTCACTGTGGAAAACAGTTCGGCAGTTCCTCAGAAAATTAAGAGTAGAATTACCATATGATCGAGTGATTCCTCCTCTGGCTATATACTCAAAAGAATTGAAAGCAGGAATTCAAAGAGATACTTGTATAGCCACGTATAGCAGCATTATGCATAGTAGCCAAAGGTAGGAACAATTCATGTGTCCAAAATGTACTATATACATACATACAATAGAATGTTACTCAGCTTTGACAAACACACATAACAAGACATGGGTCAACCCTGAAGACATGCTAAGTAAAATAAGCCAATCACAAAAGAACAATTACTGTGATTTCACTTATATAAGTTACCTAGAGTAGTCACATTGGTAAAGAGAGTAGAGTGCGAGTTGCTGGGGGCTGGGTAGGGGTTGGGGAGTTATTGTTTAATGGGTACAGAGTTTCAGTGTGAGAGAAAGTTCTGGAGATGGATGGTGGCGATGATTGCACAACAGGTATAGTACTTGATTCCACAGCATTGTACACCTAAAAACATTTAAAATTGTAAATCTTTTGTATATTTTACCACAAAAAAGTGAAGGAAGAGTAGTTATTTCCTTATTGATATATTTAATGAAGAGTCATGTGAAAAATTATTAGTAAAAATAGAAGCTCTGTCCTTTTGAATATTTACTCTTATTAAAAGAATATTTTGAAATAGTAACTAAGTAAATGTGTATGAAAATGTTTTGTTAGTAAAATAAACCAGATTAGTACAGATTAATTTATTTGACTACGACTATCAACAGGAGTCATTTTAACTTTATTATAAGTTTTATTTTTCTAATTATCGGCAAAACCTTTGATGTTTAGGTATATTTGATTCAAATATGAGTGTTTATTGGTTTTGTTAATCTTCTGTTTTCTTCTTAGGTTCCGTTTAAGTCCAGCTGCCCGTAATATTCTGGAAAAACACGCCCTGGATGCTAGCCAGGGCACAGCCACTGGCCCTCGGGGTATATTCACTAAAGAGTATGTTTGTGCTTTTTTTATAATAACCAATTCCATTATTTATCATGATCTTTTTCTGAAAGTATTTAAAGAAGAGCTTATTCAGTGTTAAGATTTAAAAGGATGTATACTGTTCGTTTGTATTTTTAATTGCTTTTGTGAGTACAAAATTGTATTCTGTGCAAGGGTTGTTTTGAAGTAATTACAGCATTAATGAAGAATGGTTCTAATTTGGTCACTAAGCCGGATCCTTAGAAATGGTGTTAAATGCAGAAAATTAGATTACAGAGCAGTGAACTTTTTATATTGTTTTATGTTGGTTTGAAATAAGTTTGCAATCACATTTAAATTTTTTAAACCTGGAAATGTACTTTTAAAAATAATTTCATTCTTATCTGTTTGGATTTTAGTCACTTGGATAATCAAACTGATTTCCATATGCTGTTGGCTTTTTTTTTTTTTTTTTTTTTGGATTTTCTCTTCTATTCCACTATCTATAAGTTAGCACCTAATTTGTTTAGTACCACACTCAGAATTATAAATATTTTATAGTAGGTTTTAAAATTTGTTAGAGTTATCATTGTTCTTTTTTTTTTCCCAATGGACCAGTTTTCTTGGCTTATTCTTATTTTATAATTTTTTCTAAGTGAATTTTAAACAGTTCAGGCACAGGGGAATGATGGTGTTTTTACTGGATTGTATCACATTTTACAATTAACTTGGGGAAGAATCGAAATCTTAATGATGCTAAGTCTTCCTATTCCAGAGCACTGATCTGTTTTTCCATTTGTTTACATTTTGTTTCTTTCAAGAGTTTATGAGAACAGATGGCCCCTGCTCTATTGCAATTTAGTCTAGTGGGGAGGACAAAGATTAATCCTTCAGACATATGACTAATGTAAAATTGCCATAGTGGTATGTATTCTTTCAGAGAAAGAGAGAGCGTGGAGGGAGGGGGATGGGGCAGAGGGATATAGAGGGTCTTAAGCAGACTCCGCCCTGAACATGGAGCCCAAAGCAAGGCTCAGTCTCAAGCCCCTAAGATCATGACCTGAGCCAAAGCAAAGAGTTGGACATTTAACCAACTGTACCACCCAGGCACATTTGTGTTACATTTCTATTGGCAGTAATATTACATCTTCAAATTGAGGGATCCCTGGGTGGCGCAGCGGTTTGGCGCCTGCCTTTGGCCCAGGGCGCGATCCCGGGTCTCCAGGATCGAATCCCACATCGGGCTCCCGGTGCATGGAGCCTGCTTCTCCCTCTGCCTGTGTCTCTGCCTCTCTCTCTCTCTGTGTGTGACTATAATAAATAAATAAATAAATAAATTTAAAAAAAAAAAACAAATTGAGTTAACATTTTAAAGCAATATGCTTATTCCCCATTTACTGTTGATAACTGTGATCAGTAATATTGGCTAAAAGTTTTTAAGTTGAGATTAGTGAAGGTTATGAAATTATTAAGTGGCAGTGCTGGACCAAGGGATCTTTCTTTTCTTTTCTTTTCTTTCTTTTCTTTTCTTTCTTTTCTTTTCTTTTCTTTTCTTTTCTTTTCTTTTTCTTTTCTTTCTTTCTTTCTTTCTTTCTTCTCTTTCTTTCTTTCCTTTTTTCATTGGGTTTAATTTACTCTTCACTAAAACATTGGTTTATTTTGGGGCATTTCTTTTATGATGAGCAATTCAGGTTTAATTCTTAGGTAGCTTCATTTATCTGTGTTACACCCTTATTGATTTGTTCATTAGACCTGTGTATGTTGTTTTCTTAAACACATACTGTGAGTCCTGCCATACTACATGAGTCAGAAATCAGCTGTCCTGATCTCTGACTGAAAAGTTGTATACTAGACTGTGAATTTTTATTTAAAGGACTTAAATGGTTTCACTTAACCATAAAAAGTTAAAATTAAGTATTCTCATAGCCAGTTAAGCTTAGTCCCCGCCCCCATATCCATCCTACTATTTGTACCTTTATTTTATTAATCTACCAATCTATGTTTTTTTTTTTACAAGGTTTTATTTATTCATGACAGAGACACAGAGAGAGAGGCAGAGACATAGGCAGAGGGAGAAGCAGGCTCCATGCAGGGAACCTGACGTGGGACTCGATCCTGGGTCTCCAGGATCACGCCCTGGGCTGAAGGCGGCGCTAAACCACTGAGCCACCCAGACTGCCCTCAATCTAGAGTTTTAGTAAATTCTCCATAAAAATGGGATAAAGCACCTTTCTTTATAACCAGGTAGACTTACCTATATTTCTGAGGGATAAGACAGAGAGTCTGTATTTAATTCATCAAGATTTGGTGAAATCTTTGATAAAGTTATCATAGCTGTACCTTAGAAGGATTAATTTTGCAAATTTGTATAAGACACATTGGAGCAGAAAAAAACTTGAGGTTAGGAGATAAAATAGGCTTATAAAGTAATTCAGGTAAAAGGTAAAATGCCTGAATGTAAATGGAAGAAATAAAAGGGAGATTACTGATCTAGGTAGTAGTATAAGGACAGGATCCAGAAGTCTTCCTAAAGGATGGAATGTGGAGCATAGACCAGGATAGCAATGAATCAAGGAATGAATTTGAGATTCTGGTCTGGGTAATGAAATTTTGGCTCCATAAATACAAATAATAATAATAATAATAATACAAATAATAGGTATTAAATACAAATAATAAATATAAATAAGACCTTTGTCTTGGTGGAGTGAGTGCTTGTTAGCTCTGAAGCCTTTTGTCAGTGCTGACAATTCACGTAGGCATCAGGATCAGTGAGGTGGAGATTATTTGCAGGAGACAGTTCAGAACTTAAGAGGGAGGTTTGGAAAAAAAAAAAAAAAGAGGGAGGTTTGGTAGGCAGTAGACCAGTAGTTATAATTGAGATAATCAATTAGAGGTAAACTTTTAGAAGGCAGCTTTTCTTGTGTTGGAGGATTATCTAGGAGCTGGATAAAAAGTTAAGGTGTGATCTGAGAAAAGTCTTTGGAAGTCAATTATTAGGTGATATTTTAGAAGACATTATGTGGTGTGACAGTAGAGGAATGAAATAGCCCTTTTTTCCTTTTTCCCTTCTCTTTCCATATGTGCTTATATGATGAACAAATAAATATCTTTTTGTTAACCTGAACTGAAGTTATAATAGGAATGTAACATTTATTAAGGAGAACAAAATGGTATTTGTCTTGCTGCATACCCCAAGGAACCACTATTAAAATAATTTTATTTTTAATATTTTTGCCGTCTTCCTCCTCCTAATTCAATTTTCTTTCCTTATTCTTTAACTCTGCACCATAAAACTCAACCTTTTGTCTTCAAAATCTGACACATTTACAAAAGGTTTCATGAGAAAAACATAGATCCTGAAAGCATATGTTATTTAGGATTTTCGTTTTATATACTACTAAAGATGCCTGTGTTTTAAGTTTAAAGTGGACTTTGGAAAAAACCGACTTGCTGTCACCTACAAAAATGTCATTTTCTGATAAGATTGAAAAAGTGCAGGCTAAGCTTCCCCTAAAGTACCTTAGCACAGATTCTTGAAATTTGGAGGGACATCCTTCCTTCTTCCATTCTCAACTAAAAATGCAAGTAGAATAGTTCCAGCTGTTGAGGAAGTGCCTCTGATCCATTGTTTATGAAGTAAATCCTCAGTGTTAGGGTTGCTATTTTAAATGTTGCAGTGGAGCAAATATATTGTCCAAACATATTGCTCAGAATATATGTTGCACAAAAGCATATAGATTTGACTTTGTGTATGTATTTTAAGAAAGCTAGTGCTGGGGCCACAGAGACAGAATACATTTTCGTTCTTTGTAACCTAACATCTTTGGTATATCTGTCTTACATCATAGTTGTAGTAAATGTTTGTATTCATATCACAGTATCAAAAATTTGATAGGTGTGGTAGGTGAGTATGTAGCATGTATTATATTAGTATAATAAATATATAATATATATTATAATTAATATATAATTATATTAAATATTAGTGGTATTTCTTTTTAAAACTAAGTCATAGCTCACTGAAATGAATTACTCTCTAAGGGATCCTGGTAGAGAAGGTTCTACCCTGAGTAAATTACCAGGGCATTGTCTGCCTTTGTGCAGAAATGTGTGGCATATTTGTTTTTCTTCTAATTTTTAGAGCTTTTAATGCCTACCTAAATCTTCAAGTAGAATCTGATTAATTATTTCATGGACAGAAATCATTAAAAGCATTCTCTGCATTATAGAAACTAAATTGTTGGCTGTTATTAAACAATAATTAACATTTACACTTTATTAGGTATGTAAGTGTAAAGTTAGCAGTAAAAATTTACTGTGAAGCAGTGGCCAGAATTGATTTTCTGTTTACTTGTTTATGATTAATTATTTCTTCTTACTTTTATTCTTACCAAGAGCCTTTTTACCCAAGAATCTTAATTACTGCAACCATAAAACTAAATTGCCTGTTTCTTGATAAAATAGTTATGCGCATAGTGAAATATAAATGTGTCCGTTAGTGTGACAAATCTTTTCTTAAGTAGACATATTCAGGCATTAATATTTTAGTCTTTAATCTCTTCAATTGTTATTTTTGTTTGTTTATTTTTAACTGATGCCTGAGAGTAAATTAGTGATCCCCATATAAAGGTACGGATGTGGGGATCCCTGGGTGGCGCAGCGGTTTGGCGCCTGCCTTTGGCCCAGGGCGCGATCCTGGAGACCCGGGATCGAATCCCACGTCGGGCTCCCGGTGCATGGAGCCTGCTTCTCCCTCTGCCTGTGTCTCTGCCTCTCTCTCTCTCTCACTGTGTGCCTATCATAAAAAAAAAAAAAAAAAAAAAAAAAAAAGGTATGGATGTGTTTTGGATATGCCACTCTAATGCTAAACTCTAATTTGATTGATTTTTAAAGATTTTATTCATTTATTCATGAGAGACACAGAGAGAGAGGCAGAGACACAGGCAGAGGGAGAAGCAGGCTCCCTGTGGGGAGCCCAATGCGGGACTTGATTCCAGGACCCTGGGATCATGACCTGAGCCAAAGGCAGATGATCAACCACTGAGCCACACAGGTGCCCCTTTAATTTGATTTAAAACCCAGATTAGTTTTGTTAGATGTATTTAATTACCTTATATAATGGAAAGGGACTAGTAGTGTTAGGCTATGACTTGTAAGAGCTCTTAAAAGCTAAATATCTTTTGGTGAAGGGATTTTTTTCTGACTCAACAACAGAAGGCCTTATTATATATCAATACTCTTTTTTTTTTAAGGTTTTATTTATTTATTTTTAGAGAGAGAACATGCCAGTAGGGGGAGTGGGCAGAGAGCCCTTAAGCACACACCCCACTGAGCGTGGAGCCTGATGTGAGGCTCTATCTCATGACCCTGAGATCATGACCTGAGCCAAAATCAAGAGTTGGATGCTTAACGGACAGGCGCCCCTCAATGCTCGTATTTTTATTTATCTGGCAAGGGTTTTGGCTCATGGCATAAATCCTCAGAAATGATATTGTCAGCCATTTATTTCACATGTAAATGTTAATCATAGTTAACTGGAAAATGGTACTTTTGGTTACAAATATAAGTAAATTAAAAATTAATTTCCAAACAGAAGTAAGCTTGTCAAAAGCATTAACCGTGTATAAGGTCATTCCCTAGGCCACGCACCTCTTCTTCTCCCTCATTCTTTCCATTCCGATCACAATGTTGTGCTCTGAGAACCAGCACTATCTGGTTATGCCCCTGCTACTTTTTTGTGTGGTGAATTCGAGGCCAGAGTCAAGAGGTCCTATATTTTGCCTTAGATTAGGTAGATCACATTTTTTCCTTCAATCCCAGACTTGCTGTTAACCTGAGATGTACTGTATTCTAGTCTGTTCATGCGAGAAAATTTGTGTACTATGTGCACAGGTGTGAGTAAAGTAGTAGAAAATGCACAGGCTCTGGACTTGGCCATCCCTGGGTTTGATGCCAGTCCCCATTTCATCTTTTAACCCTCTCCTCCTTGTTCACTCCTCTTTCTACATTGGTCTGCCTTCTGTTGTTAGAAGATGCTGTATTTTTCCCTGCCTAGAAATACACTTTCCCCAGCTCTTCGTGGCTGCTTGCTCCTTCACGTCATTCCACACAAGCACCACATCCTCAGACCTTCCCTGACCATCCATCCTATTTTAAAAGAAGCCCTCCTCTCACCTATCACTCATATCATTATTCTGCTTTATTTTCTTCATAGCGCAGCTATATCTGCCATTTGTTTGCCTGATTAACATAGACTCTCCTGTGGAATAAAGTGTCTTGTTTAACAGTGGATCCTCAACACCTAGAATAGAGTAGGTAACTGAGAAATACCGACTTAGATTTGAAATTTAATCTCTCTGAGCCTATTTACTCATTTATGAATTGGGAGTGATAATACCTCCCTCACAGGACTGGTATAGGATTACATAATTACACAATGTAGGCATAAGAGGCTCATTTTCTCACTTTTACTCCCACTCTTAATGTTTATTAGGGATCTGAGATGGTAAAACATGTAAGACTTCATCAATCTGACTTCCTTTGTTAAATGTCAACCCTTTAATTTTGAAACAAGTAAGTTAGTTGTAGTTAGGGTTAGCTCCATGCCCCCTTTTTGGACCAGTTATAAAGAAAGGATGAACGCTCTTTTCTAAAACCAGTATCAATACACATGGGGGGATTCCTGGGTCAATTTTCTATTACTGTGTAAGAAATTACTACAAATGTAGCAGCTTAAGACCTATTTAGCATCTAACAATTCTGTAGGTCAGAATTCCAGGCCTAGCATGGCTGGGTTCTCAACTTATGGTCACAAGGTTGAAATCAAGGTTTTGGCCAACACTAGGGTCTCATCTAAAGGTGGGTGTCCTCTTCCAGGCTCCTATGGTTGTTGGTAGAATTCAGTTCCTTGGGGCTGTCAGAGTCTGGCCCCTGGCCGGCTCTTAAACCAAGGACTAGTCCTAGTTCCTAGAGGCATCCTTCAGGTCCTTGCCTCATGGTCATCTCCACAGGCTGCTCACAAATGCCTATTCCCTTCTCCAGTGCCAGCAGGAGACTCTGTCCATTTGGATCTCTTCTTCCAGGAATTCCTGGTTCCTTTTAAAGGGCTTATCTGATGTCTAATCCCACCAGGGTAATTATACTTCTGCTTTTTGATTAACTTAATGTCAGCTGATTTGGGACTTTAATTATGTCTGCAAAATCCATCACCTTTGTCTTGTAATGTAACCTAATCATGGGGAGACATCCATCATACTCAGGCCGACCCATACTCACAAGAGATTATATGGGTGTGTATATCAGGTAATAATTCTGTATATACAAGAATATTGGAGCCATCCATCTCAGAATTCTGCCTACCATGTTGCCATAAGGTATTAAGGAAGAGGTTTTGTGTAGGAGAGGATGATTGTCATTTCAAACGTGTCCAGCAGTTGCTAGGTTTTTCCCCTCATAATTCTTTTAAAAAACCGTAACAAAATTAACTATGAGGAATTTAAGGAATGTTATTTGCCTTTAAATTTGTGTCACTATGAAGTTGTTTTTATATTATGTAGAACCTTTTAAAAAATTTAGATTAAAAATAGTTTTTAAAATATAAAATTTTGTTTTTGAAAAGAATTTTTTGAATTATCAAATATTATAATTTTTGAAAAAGCTGTTTTAAGAGAATATATTACTTCATACCCACTGTAACTTACATAGATCAAAAGCTTGATATATATAGTAATCTAATTAAATCCTTTTAAAAAACAAAGATACCGTTAATGCAAGGTAAGTCTATTACTAGTTTGGTTTTCTTTCATTCTGAGTGATGCTGTGGGTTAGGTTTATTTCATTAGATGGTGCTGATAACATATTGAACAATACTTAAAATGGTGTGATTTCCTGGCCATAAACAAGGTAATTTGTACTAGAAAATCCAGTAATTTAGTGAATATCGTAGTAAAAATCGTAATAAACTTGACATTTTCTGAATGCCATGTGAAAATTACTTGACCAAGTGTAAAGAATGAGAGTATGGCTTAATTTATGAATAGTTCATCTACCAAATGATACTCCCCCCAACCCCCGCAAAAAAAGACAGTTTCCTTTTTAAAGATACCTACACCCAATACTTTGATAAATTTGAATTGTTGTTCAGTTTTTGGAAATGTCCAAATATTGTAGTGCATGAATAATATAAATCAGCAAAACAGATAAGATTTGCTTATCTAAAATAATTCATTTTGTATTTTAGCCTTGAGATCTCTAGTTCAGTACCTTCCCTCTGTACCTCATACCCACTTACTAAACATTTTATCCTTGTTGTTAATCATGGTTCTCTCTTATCTTCAGGGATGCTCTCAAACTGGTGCAGTTGAAAGAAACCGGCAAGATTACTGAATCCAGACCCACTCCAGCCCCTCCAGCCACTCCCACAGTGCCTCTGCCCCCACAGGCCACAGCCACACCACCTTACTCACGGCCGATGATCCCACCAGTGTCAACTCCTGGACAACCTAATGTACCGGTAATATCGTTTGAGTAGACTTGTATTTTTCAGATTTAAGTGAGAAAGAAAATAAAACCATTACTGTCTCTTTTACAAGTAATTTTACGAATCCATTTTAGTAGTAACTGAAAGTGGTAAAAAAAAAAAAAAAAAGTACTCCATACGCTTTGTTTTGCAGATGCCTAGTTCAAACCCGATTTGTTTGTGTGGTGCTAACTTCCAGATTCAGCGCCATGTGTGTATGCTCTGTAATCATGGTACTTCCTTGGGTGTGGTACTATTAACTGGTAGGTGCCACTAGCCATCTTCTGTGGGTGCTTTATTTTGACTGAGGGAATTGATAGTCTCCCTGTGAAGAATTATAGAGGCCACATACCTAGATGTTCTTTCTCAGATACAGGTAGGATAGCAGCCCATTTTTGTTGTCAAAATACTCCATTTTGCCTCTTTTTACCTCCCTTTCTTAGTATCTTTCATGTCATTTGCTTCCCATTGGAAGAAATGCAGGATAATCAGGTTAATGTAAAACTGAATGGACACTTAAAAAATAAACACACAAACCTATCCTGTTCTTTCTAGTGGAGAAATGTATTCCAGTATGACATTTTAAAAATAGTTGCAAATAGTATAAATTTCATGGGAAGCAAAATTTTTTAATAAGTTCATACTTCATACTGCACATACAAAAAAATATGTGTAATCAAATCTTATACTTGTAAGAAGTAGGCTATTCAAATTCAGAAGATAAATCTTACTTTCAAAGTTTTATGGTATAGAGTGAGCATTTATTCTATTTGAGCAAGTACTCTGTCAACATAAAATGTTTCCTAAGAAATCAAGTGTATTTTTAGCTGCTTAGTTATTATTCTCATATGATTGTGATCTAGTCCCAGAATGGAGCGAAGGGTAAGGAAAGAATCACACGTAGTGTAAGGTCCATCTTGCTTTTGTCAGAGGCTCAAGGAACAAAACGGAAAGCTACAATAAGTAAAGTTACAAGAGGATTTTAATATCTCACTTATACTTCATGTTGTGAATTTTTGGAAAATATGATACTTGTGCAATTTCTATATAAATTACAAACCAAAATGGAAATAGTTTGACAGATTATTTAATATATTGAATTATCTTTTTCTACTGTGTACCATTTTTATAAGTAAGAATTGTCTGCTGTTGGTTTGTTGAATTATTGTATGCTTTGAGTTTTATTAAGGCATGGTATTTGTGACAGAAGCTTCTGTGTGTGTGTCTATCTCTTTGTCTCTGTTTCACACACACACACACACACACACACACACTAATGGAAGAATTATTCATGACTTGGGAGATTTCTTTTTGATCATCTTAAACATAGTAACATAAGATGACCCACTTACAACTAAAACATGAGTTTTACTATTTTCTACAGTCATATACTATAAAGTTAAAACTCTTTGGATTTCTTATATTCCTCCTTATACTAAGAAATTTTAATAGTACTTTCCTATATTGATCTTTAACTATTAACAAAAGCTAAGACACTGAATATATTTTAGTTATGGAGTTTGTTTTTTCCCCTTCCATTTATGGTGTAATGGACAGATTATAATTTCTTTGCAGGGCACATTCACTGAAATCCCTGCTAGCAATATTCGAAGAGTTATTGCCAAGAGGTTAACTGAATCTAAGAGTACTGTGCCGCATGCATATGCTACTGCTGACTGTGACCTCGGAGCTGTTTTAAAAGCTAGACAAAGTCTGGTCAAAGGTTAGTAAAGTTAAACTTACTTAATACATGTGCTAACTGTCATGAAGTCCTTTACTTATAAAGGTACATGTATAGCTTTTTATTTCAATTTTATCATCTGGATGCATTTTAGTGCTAGAGAAAAGAATTGGCTCACTTTGCCTATAAGAAACAAACTGGTTCCATAGTACTGAGTAAATCATACTTTTTGGTATGATATCCGAACCAAGCAGTCCTTAACATTTTAGTATAAAATCCCCAAATGATTTAAGAGTGTTTTAGATTTTACATACATATTTTAGATATCCCTCTGCTTTACAGTTTTTTTAATTTCTTCTTCAAAATGAACTTTCAGGTTATGAAATTGGTAATGTACCTCCCAGCAATCACTTAAAACTAAGGTTGCTGGGAGACATACAAATTTTTATGTTTTCTTTCTCTCTTTCCAATCTGTATGGCTTTCATTTTCTTGCTTTGTTGTACTGGCTAAGACCTGTGGTACAATAATGAATGGTAAGTGGTAAAGGCAGATTTTTTGTCTTATTCTTGGTCTTAGGAAAAATATTCAGACTTTTACATCAGTTGTAGGTTTTTTGTAGATTCCTTTTTTAGGTTGAGGAAATTCATATTCCTAATTTGCTGAGTTTTAAGCATAAGTGGATGTTAAATTTTATCACATGCTTTTTTGTATATATACCATTTCACTCTATTATTTTGGTAAATTGTATTGGTTGATTTCTAGATGTTGAGTTAACCTTGTATTCCTCATATAAAACTCATTTGTCATTAATTTTCTCACCTATTTCTTGATTCCATTTTCTTTTTTTTTTTTTTTAATTTTTATTTATTTATGATAGTCACACACACACACAGAGAGAGAGAGGCAGAGACATAGGCAGAGGGAGAAGCAGGCTCCATGCACCGGGAGCCCGATGTGGGATTTGATCCCAGGTCTCCAGGATCACGCCCTGGGCCAAAGGCAGGCGCCAAACTGCTGCGCCACCCAGGGTTCCCTTGATCCCATTTTCTAAAATTTTTCTGAGAATCATTATACCTGTACACATGAGAAAACCCTGTAGTTTTCTTTTCTTGAAGATGTTTATTTCTGGGTTTGTTACCAGATCTCATAGAAGGAGTTGGGAAATGTTTCCTTCTCCTTTATTTTCTGGAATAGTTTGGGTAGAATTAGGTAGTTTTTAATTGTTTGGTAGAATTCACCAATGAAGCTATCTAGGCCTGTGATTTTTCTCGTGGGGAGATTTTTGACCATGAATTCAATTTTTAAAAATAGGTGTAAGTTGGGCAGCCTGGGTGACTCAGTGGTTTAGCACTGCCTTCGGCCCAGAGCCTGATACTGGAGACCTGGAATTGAGTTCCACGTCAGGCTCCCTGCATGGAGCCTGCTTCTCCCTCTGCCTGTGTCTCTCTCTCTGTCTCTCATGAATAAATAAATAAAATCTTTTAAAAATAAAAAAATAACAAAAATAGGTATAAGTTTTCTGATTATTCTTGAATGAGCTTTAGTAGTTGGTGTCTTTCAAGGAATTTTTTTATGTACCTCAGTAATGAAATTTACAGTAGTCCCCCCCCCTCATCTCCACAGAAGTACATTCCAGGACCCCCAGTGGATCAACCACTGATGGTACAAAACCCCATACATACTATGTTTTCTTCTATGCATATGATAAACTTTAATTTAAAAATTAGACACAGTGAGAGATTAACAACAATAGTAAAGTAGAGCGATTATAATGATATGCTGTAATAAAAGTTAAGTGAATGTGGTCTCTCTCTAAATGTCTTACTGTATTGTACTCACCTTCCTTGTGATGCTGTGAGATAACATGCCTATGTGATCAGCTGACATGAGGTAAATGATGTGGGCATTGTGACACAGTGTTAGGCTTCTGGTGGCCTTCTGACAGTAAGTCAGGAGGATCATCTGCTGGGCTCCTGTTGACCACGGATGACTGAAATTGTGGAAAGCAGAACCACAGATAAGGAGGTCTACTGTATTGGCATAAAGCTATTCATAATGTTACCGTATTATACTTCTAACCTCTACATAATCTGAAATGGTGTCCCTAGTTTCAATATTAGTAATTTATGTCTCCTTATTTTCTTGATCAGTCTGGCTGGATATTGATCAATTTTATTGATTTCCTCAAATAATGAGCATTTGATTTCATTAACTTTCTCCATTGTTTTTATAATTTTTGTTTGCTTTCGGTTTAATTTGCTCTTTTGCTTTCTAGTTTCTTAAGGTGAAAGCTGAGATATATATAGTATAATGTGTAATATATATATTATACTATATATAATAAATACATATATTTATACTGTAACATATATATTATAATTATACATATTATATAAAGTATAATATAGTATAATAAGCCTTATTCCTAATATAAGTATATAATGCTTTTAAGGTAAGGTCCCTTTTGGCAGTGCTTTAGATGAATTCAACAAAATTTGATGTCTTTTATTTTTCTTCACATTCAATTCAAGATGTTTTCTATTTTTCCTTAAGATATCTTTTTTGATCCATGAATTATTTAGAAGTATAATTTCCAAATATTTGGGGACTTTTCAGCCTTTTAGGATTTCTTGCTTAACTCCATTGTGCTTAGAAAACATGCTTTGTATGACCTCAATGTTCTTAAATTTTTTGAGACTTTTATAGTTGTAATATGGTCTATCTTGATGAATGTTTCATGTGTACTTGAAAATAATGTGTGTTCTACTTTTTTTTAAAGATTTTATTTTGAGAGTGCATGAGTGAGGGGAGGAGCAGAGGGAGAGGGAGAAAGAGAGGGAAAGAATCTCAAGCAGATTGAGCTGAGTACAGAGCCTGACATGGGGCTTGAACTCAAGACCTTGAGATTATGACCTGAGCTAAAATTGACTCAACGCTTAACCAACTGAGCTACCCAGGTGTCCCTGAAAAGAATGCGTTCTACTTTTGAGGAATGTTCTTTAAATGTCGGGTGAAGTTGACTGGTAGTAGTGTTCATGTCTTTTATATTCTTACTGATTTCTTTTTTTTTTTTTTTAAAGATTTATTTATTTATTCATTCAGGGAGAGCGAAGAGAGAGGCAGAGACATAGGCAGAGGGAGAAGCAGACTCCATGCAGGGAGCCTGATATGGGACTCGATCCCGGGTCTCCAAGATCACACCCCAGGCTGCAGGCGGCGCTAAACCGCTGCGCCACCGGGGCTGCCCCTTCTTACTGATTTCCTATGTGTTCTTTCAATTTTTGGAAAAAGTACTGAAACCCCCAATTATAATTATGGATTCATCTATTTCCCCTTTGAGTTCTGTCAGTTTTTACATCATTTTGAAGGTCTGTTATTAGGCACATAACACATTTAGGATATTGATGTTTTCCTGATGAATAGATTTGTCATCGATGTCCCTGTCCACTCCTGATATAATCTTTCTTACCCCAAAGCCTTCCTTATCTGATATTGATAGTTATTCTTTCTGACTTATCTTTTTATATCTTTTTGTATATTTTTACTACTGACTTATCTCTGTCTTTATAATCAAACTAACTTTGCAGACAGCATATAATTTTTCTGATTTTTATCTAATCCTTTTTTTTTTAATTTTTTTTATTTACTTATGATAGTCACAGAGAGAGAGAGAGAGAGAGAGGCAGAGACACAGGCAGAGGGAGAAGCAGGCTCCACGCACCGGGAGCCTGATGTGGGATTCGATCCCGGGTCTCCAGGATCGCGCCCCGGGCCAAAGACAGGTGCCAAACCGCTGCGCCACCCAGGGATCCCATGATTTTTATCTAATCCTATACTCTTGTCTTTTAATTATTTAGACCATTCACATTTAATAATTTCGTCCTTTGTTTTCATTTGTCCCATCTCTTCTTATCACACCCTTTCATGTATAATGTAAGAACTTCACAATATATTACATTTTCCGCCCTTTATTCTTTGTGCTCTTACTGTCCTGTTTTATTTCTACATATGGTGCAGTGTGAGCCCCGGCATATATGTTCGATGTGTTTTTGCTTTAGCAAATCAACTATGCTTTAAAGAAATTTAAAAATGAGGAGCTTCTGGGTGGCTCGAGTGTCTGACTCTTTATTTCAGCTCAGGTCATGATCTCGGTGTCATGAGAGCAAGCCCCACGTCTGGCTCTGTGCTGATCTCCCTCACCCTCTCCCTGCCGTCCCCTTGCACTTGCTCACTGGCTCTCAAAAATAAATGAACTGTGTTTATCCTCTTTGGGTTTCTCTTAGCTTGTTGGATTTATGGCTTGTTGTCTTTCATTAATTTTGGAAAACTAACCATTAGTTTTCACTTCTCTCCATGTGTTTTTTTTTTTTCTTTTGGAACTCTGGACAGTTCAAACAGTTGAACATTCATAATCAAAGCTCTTAGAGCACCAATTCTTATTTTTGTTCATCCTTTTTTTTTCTCTTTGTGTTTTTGTTTAGATAATTTTTGTTGATCTAGCTTCAAGGTCATTGACTTTTTCTCAGCTATGTTTAGTCTCTGAAGCTTAACAAAAAATTATTTATCTTTAACTGCATGGCTTTTTTTCCTCAACTGTCCATTTGAATGTTTTTTATGGTTTCCATATCTCTGCTGATATCCCCATCGGTTCACGTGCCTTGTCCCGTACTTTGTCCCATACTTTCTCATACTTTGATAGTGGTTAAATCATTTCATGTGTTTGTCCATCCTCTGAGGGGAGTTATCACCCTTGATGTTCAGTCACTTGTTTGCCTTATAACCTTGACTTCCTAACAGACTTATGTTATGATTTTGTAACCCCTACTTTTCCCCCTGCCCTATTAGGGTGGGAAAAATTTTCTCCTGTGGCTTTCTACATCTCAAGCAACAACAGACTGATATTTCAGTTTAGATACAGACTTTGAAGAATTCATATGAAGACAACCTGACCCCTTTTAAAAGTTCAAGGAAATAAATGGAAAGCTTACTTCCGAGAAAATTATCAATATTCAAAAAGTTAATCCTGGCACCTTCCATATAGGTTTTAAGTGTACTTGCTTAGTCATAATATAGAGATTACTAGGAGAGTATTTTTTTCTGGTTTCTTCCTTTCATGAGGCAGGAAACAGTACTATTTCAGTGGAAAGGTGAATTAGTTTAGTATCAAGTTTGGTATGTCCTTGCAGCTAGGAAGTTTCTAAGGGGTCTTCAAAGAGCCCACGTTATTTATCTCCAGAACTCTTTCTTATATAGTTATATAACATTCTATAAGTGTGTCTTTATTGTTTTATAATGATATGTAAGTGAAAATGTTTGATGTTCCCTCACAAACTATTTCCTATTCTTCTCAATGTCACCAGGAAGTCTCTTTTCTATATATTTGAAAATTTCCATAATAAAAAAGTTAAAAATAAAAGATCTTAAAAAAAACTCCTTTGTACTTTTTTGATTTTCAATGCCTGTTAGAAGTATCATATGAGAAATTGGATATAAAAGTCTGAAGCTTCTGATGCATCAGGATAAGAGTTAGCATTTGAAGGATTCATCGTTGTATGAATAGTATCAAAACCATGAAACAGACAGTTCTTGCCTGAGAAGGTGCCACCATTGAGAGGAAGGGAAGGAAAATGAGTGAATGATAAAAAGTGGAAGAAAACAGAAGAATACAGTGATACAGGAAGCCAGTAAGAGAATTGTGATTCACAACAAAGAAAGTGACCAGCTCAGGAGTATGTTGAGGGCAGAGAATTTACATGAGCATTATGCACTCTGGCAGTAAATAGGTGGTCTGGCATTGGCTAATGGTGGTTTGGGAAGTCTTCACTGTGGATACCTCTGGGTAGTAGATAAAGTGCAGAGGAGGTTAAGGGAGCCATGAAAGGTAAGCATAATAAGTTCATAAAATATGTCAACATACTTGAATTTATACTGACCATGTCTTCAGTGGCTATCATTAAAATTCTGTAAGCACTGGAAGTCCACTGATATTTCTACTCCTGAAGGGGTTTTAAATAAGCAACAAAAATATTTATGTCTATGGAAATCTGAATTAAAAGAGCTATAAATTGGATGAGCAGGTGGTGGTTACCATGACAGTTTGGCAGTATTTGGATTTATGATAATTCATTTCATGTCTTTCTGAAATCTCCAGCATGCCTTTAGAATGAGCTATTGTTCATGTTAAATTCCATGATACTATAGTAACAGGATTTGTGTATCTTGCCACATACCATTGAGTAGATCTTGATCTTAAACTCTTTTTCTAGAAGCTCTTGCAGTAGGGAATCAAGTGTAGTTTACATTTTGCAACACTTTCCTACCCGCTGGGAAAAGCAAAAGTGTAAATCAGATGCTTTTGTTATGATCAGCTCTGTGGGAAGGGAGGGGACCTTAGCTTTATCTTGAAATCATTATGTATACTGGAAGGAAATTGATTCAAATGGAATCACCATAAAACTAGACAGAAAACCTCATTTTGTTCAATGCACTAGGACCTGTGCCAACATTGCTTCATCTTTGGCCTTTGTTATATCCTGTTTTGTTAAGTTAAAAAGCAGCTCAGTGGTCTTAAATTTTTTTTGGTATACACTCCATTAGTAAAAAAATCTCTCTCTCTAGATACAGGTAGATAGATAGATACAGAGATCTTTAAAATGACTGTATGTTACCACTGTTCAAGTATAATCAGTAATATTATAAAGCATATGCAGGATAAAGACATTTGAAAAGGGTGAGAGAGAAAAAGAATGAATCACCGTAGAGAGACCATTTGTGTTTTTAGAGACAGGAGTTGGTTCTTTTCTTTTTAATTATGTTTATAATGTGTCCTTCAGGTTCTCGTGTATGATATCTGAGCAATTTAAAAGAATTGTAATCAAGGTCCAGAAGTAATCTTATACATTTGTGGTTAATATTATTTATGCAGGACCTCAAATAATATAGAAGTTTTTGTAATTAGGAGACTCAGTACCATCTAAGCAAGCAAACAAAAACCTGTAATATTTTTCATTGTAATTTATTAATGAACAAGTTTGAAATCGTAATGGCCAATGTTAAAATTTCATTATGAACGCTAATTTTGATATGCTTGTTTTTCTTTCAGATGACATTAAAGTATCAGTGAATGATTTTATAATTAAGGCAGCAGCTGTTACTCTTAAAGTAAGTAGTAGACCCCAAATCATTTTGGCTTCTAAAATGGACTCATATCTTGGGATTTTTATATGGTAAATAGAAGTGTCATTTTTAAGTCCCCAAAATTATATAATCATATTGCTGAAAATATTATGTCATTTAATCTCATGCCCTCAGTTTTACAGATGAAACTGAGAATCATTGGGACTCACAGCTAATTATAGCAGAATAAAGGTCATTTATTCAGCCAATAGTAACTGATTTCCTGTCATGTACTGAGTGCATTATAGACATTTAGGAAAACAGTGGTGAACAAAAGCTGACACGTTTTTGCTCTTCTGGGGCTTATAGTCTCGTTGGAAGAGACCAGTATTTGTCAGATAGTGAAAGTACTGGGAGAAAGAGGAAGCGCTACAGAATAAGTAGGGGTATCATGGTGCACACAGTTCGTCCAGGAAGGCCTCTCTGACAAGGTGGTGGTGGAACCAAGGCCTGGAAGAGAGCATGTGAGCCACAGAGCTCTCGGCTAGAAGAGTGCTCCAGGCAAAGGAAACTGCAGGCAGAAGGCTGGGAGAAACATGCTGCGGTGCCGGGGACACAGTGTTTCTGGAGGAGGAAAGGTAGCAGATGAGATTAAGCAGAAGAAAGAGGGAGGAGTTGCGAGGGCCCTAAAGTGGATGAAGCCTTGGTGGCCTGGGAAGACTAGGGAGTTTCTTTTGATGAAGAAGGAAGCCTTCAGAGGGTTTTGAGAGAGGACTGATGGAGAGGGTCCTCTGGTGGTTTGTGGAACACAGCCTGTGGGGAGGCCAGGGGGCAGCCGTGTGCTCTCCTGGGAGGCTGTGGACAAGGACAGTGGTTTGGACTAAGGTAGCAGCTAGAGGTGAAGCTGGGGTGAAGGCCAGATTTGGGGTGCATCTCAAAGGTAAAGCCAACCAGATTTGCTAATGGATTGGATGTGGGATGCGAGAGAAGGGATAAGGACTTGGGCCCGAGCCGTGGGAGGAATGAAGTTTTTCACGTACTGACATTGGCAAAGTGGGAGAGGAGCAGGTTTGAGGCAGGCGTCTAGAATTGGGTTTGGATCTGAAACCCAGGCTTCCTGCCTTCTTGCTCTGCACCATTTTCTGCCCTGTCTTTCTGTGACTGGGCTGTTTTTCTGGATCACTGTTTGTTAAGTGCTGTATTTAATATATACTTACAAGATATTTCTTTTTATTTCTTGAACAGTACAGTAATAGAGAATTTTAAAGTCATGCCTTTTCTTAGCCATTCATATCTAAGTGTTCATATGGCTTTTGCCTTTTGACCAGATAATATTTTGAATTACATCATGAATTATGAATCATTCTTGCCCTCCTTAAGTGAATCTCTAGTGTTCATTACATTTCATTTCATAATTTTGTATCAGGAGAACATAAGTAATTGTAATTTAAATTTTGTGCTAGTTTTGTCAAGCTTTTCTTTTTTTAAATTAGTGGCTTCTTAAAGTGAATTCAGGTACTTCTCCCCTTTCCTTTCTCTGTGCTTATTTCAATATTATAAAGGTTTTTATTTCTTGAAGCTTTATAGAATTCACCAGTAAAAATATGAGTGTAGTTCTATTTTGGGGGAAAGAGCCTTGACAACCTTCTCATTTTTCCCCTGTAATTATTGAACTGTTTAATTTTCAGCTTTTTCTTGAATTGATTTTGGGAACTTCTATATTCCCAGAAAATCACTGACTTCATCTGGATTCCCAAACTTATTATCCCATCATTTAAATTTGCTTCTTATATTATTTTAATGTTCTCAGTGCTGGCATTGTTTTAAACTCTGTCTTTTATTATTGCATATTTGTGTCCTCAGTCCATTTATATTGTTGCCTTATGTGTTCCTTCTGTCATTTCCTTAGCTTTAGAATGGGATTAGGTTAGACTTTTCTTTGAAAATATTTTGTTAGAAAATGTGGATGTGTAATTATTATAATTAGGAATATGAATAAGAAGGTTTAAGAATATGAATTTTTCCTTTGACTACAACTGAGGCCCATAGGTTTTTGTTACATAGTTCTGTAATTACATTTATTTACCAGATACTTCTCACTTAGGAGAGATTTTTTTTTTCCTCTTTTAAGGCCCATAGTGTTTCCTACGAAGAATTTAACATTTTCTGGGGGTTAGGGACTTCAGTCTTTATTATTTTAACATAAACAAGCTTTGATTACTTTGAATGAAAGAGCTGAGCCTTAAGAGACAGAGAAGGACCAAGAGCAGTTGAAAGCAGTGCAGTAGAGGGTGCCTGCGTGGCTCATTCGGCTGAGTGTCCAGCTCTTGATTTTGGCTCGGGTCATGATCTCAGGGTTGTGAGATGGAGCCCTGGATCAGGCTCTGTGCTGGGTGTGGAGCCTGCTTAAGATTTTTCTCTCCCTCTCCCTCTGCCCGGCCACTTGCACATGTGTTCATGTGCTCACTCTCTCGCTCTCTCTTTAAAAATAAACAAACAAACAAACAAATAAGTAAATAAATAATAAAGCAATGCAGTGGGAGTGAGCATAGCAGGACGGTGAGAAGCCCATGTATGGTGGGGAATGCATCTCCAGGGTGTGGCCATAAGTATGATTAGGTAGGCTGTTATCAAAGCAAAGAATTTTTGAGAAAAGAAATTAGTTTTTAATTTCTGTTTTTCAGCTTAATTTCTCTGATACTTGGCAACAGTGTCAGTTTATACTGTCTCCAGGTGTTTACTGATTTCTTCTGCTCTTTTCATGTATATATGTTAAATACAAGCATGCTCATACGTTTGTCATATGTTTATGAAGTCTAGGAAATCTCTTTTAAATAGAGAAGTCACTTATTAAAGGCCAGATGATTGATATCTCTCCCAGGGCTGTGCTAGAAAATAGAGCTTCCTACATGCCATAGGAGGAATGTGGTTGAATGTCGCTACCCTGTCCCCTCCCCTTTTCTCCTCAAGGCCATTTCGGTCAGCATATGAGGCAGGAAGTATAACAAATGTTAAATGCTTTTTAGCAATCAGGTTTAACAAAGGGAGACCTTTTTTTAACCATCATCTGTTGTAAAGAGATCAAAACATGTACATCAGCATTTCTTGAAGCTTGCCTTAAAAAACATGGTGTGTTTATTTTTCCTGAACATAGAAACATTTAATACAGAGATCCAAACCATTATTTCAAACTGAGTCTTCGTTTATTTGCTTTTGTCCACCTATATTCACTTTCAGAAAAGCATAATAATGTTATTTTTCTGTAACCACCTTGGTCTACTAAAGCTACTGCTTAAAAAAGAATAAAAATAAATAAATAAAGCTGTTTCCTTAGAGTGACATGTTTTTTCCTTTTCCTAGCAAATGCCAGATGTTAATGTAAGCTGGGATGGAGAGGGCCCAAAGCAACTGCCCTTTATTGACATTTCAGTGGCTGTGGCAACAGATAAAGGTTTAATTACACCAATCATAAAAGATGCTGCTGCTAAGGGTATACAGGAAATTGCTGACTCTGTAAAGGTATGTCTTAAGAAATATTGTGCTTTCAAAGTGTTAGTATTTACTTTATGGTAAAGTCTTGACATGAACTAGTCACACTGTGATGTATTTCCAAGTGACCATCAATCATATGAAAGTTTTTAAGTTTTTATTAAGTATGACTTACTTTAAGAACATTTAAGATTCAAAAATTCTGAAATACAGATAAATGAGGATCAACTATATTCAAGTTACAGGTGAATGCTTTATTTCCCAAAGTCTAAAATTCAACTCTATTTAGATAGTTTTTGTTTGTTTGTTTTTTTAGATAGTTTTAAAGTTAAGGCTGAAACCGTATTTCTATGAAGGTTGTAATGGAGAGACTTCACTGTTCAGTGTTTTATTCTTCAAAATTGATTTTATTCATTTCCTCTCTAGAATGGAAACCACTAAAAGTCCTTAATATTCCAGAGGCAAAAGTACTGAATTTTTTTCTGAGTTTCTTTAAAAGCAGTTTTTATAGCTCCCATATGGAGGAGTCTGATTTCCCCCAAAATATCCCATTGAATAGACAGGAACATAGGCAGTAGGTCAGCTATGACAACCACTATAATTTCCAAAGGTATTTTTTGACAGAAATATCATGGCTCTTATAGTGTTAGAATTGAAAATTTCAGATTCATTTAGTTAAGTGATGCTTTTCTTTTTTCATTTACCAAAGACCAGTTATATGCATAGTGGATGAACAAGTTATAAGGAGGAATTAAAAGTAGAAGATAAGATTTCTTTGGAGCGTGGATAGTATATACACATATACATAAACTTGCCCAAAATACATGAACACAAGTTAATCTACTTTTTTTTTTAAAGATTTTATTTATTTATTCATGAGAGACATAGAGAGGCAGAGACACAGGCAGAGGAAGAAGCAGGCTCCCTGTAAGGAGCCTGATGCAGGACTCGATCCCAGGACTTCGGGATCATAACCTGAGCCAAAGGCAGATGTTCAACCACTGAGCCACCCAGGCATCCCCAAATTAATTAACTACCCACTGAAAAGATCTGCAGTATGTTTTTAAAGATAAAAATAAAACTGTTTTTCTTAATTGAGCAGTAATTTGACCAGTTCAAAAATCAAAGTAATATAGATTGGTTTACTGAGATAGTTATGTGCCTTTTATTCATCAAAAGTCTTCAACAGCAATGAGAATTCATCTGTTTTAGGGTTTTTGTGAAATTCAGATGAGACTGCATTTAACTATAGAGTTAGAATTTAATATTCTTTATATATTTTTCTTGTTTTTTATTGTTTGTATATTTCTTATATTAAATTTTAAAAATTAACCATTACAAGAAGGTTTCTTTGACCAAGTTACTAATTTTACTATGCTAATACATCTGGAAGAACCTAGGATGCGGAGGTAAGGAGGCTATGTGAGCAGCTTCTCAGCGATGGGAAGGGCAGTCTTAACCCTTTGGAATGTCCCAGGGCCTTGAAGCTTCCCTCGGATTCCCACCAATCCTATGGTTCACTGTGCTCTGGCTACTTCTCTCTGCTTCCCATTCTCTCTCCCACCCTGCTGTCTGTGAGGAGCACTCCACTCTTCTTCTTAGGATATACCAGATACTAGGCCAAGCACTTGATTTAATTGTCTTAGTCCCATGTTACAGTTGAAGCCTTCATTTCCCCATTTCAATATTGAGGAAACAGAGTTTTAGTGCCTTTAGGAAATTTGCCCAAGGTAATGCATTTAGAAAACAGTAGAAGTGAGGATTTATTTAAATCTGGGCATTTCTCAGTTCAGATGCCCCTTTCTTAGGCCTTCTATGGCTTCCATAGCTAAAGTAGCTTTCTGACATTACCTATTTTACTATCTTTATGCAACTGATCAGTCTTTGAGGCTCCCTTGTTTATTTGTGATCTGTTCCCTTCTGTCTGATTTTGAGGGTCTTTTTTGTTCTTGCCATATAGCCAATTTTACAAGAGTGCATAAAGATCACAGATGCCCAGTGAATTTATTTTTTTAATTTTCAAAAAATAACTTTACTGAGATTAATTTTTCAAGGAGTTTGTAGGTTTCTGGAACTCCTTTTATGGACCTGAGTTAAGAACACCTGCTCTAAGTTTTTACTTCTTGACCCTCGATAATCTCAGGGATTTCTTTGTGTGGTGCTATAGGCATGCCTCTGCTGAGTTCAAGTTTGTATCTCTAAACATAAAATAATATAGTAACAAACCTTAGATCCCATGCCATTCTTAATTCTTCACTAATTGTAACAATTTTAAAAGTAAGGCAAAGTTTTCCTTGATTTATGCAGTTAAATTTTTTAAGTGAATTAGTAAGGAATGTAACCTATTGTAAAAATATTTGCTGATCATCTTGTATTACATCCTTTCAAGCTGGAGGCTTCAGGTAACATGTGTTTTGATCTTAAGTTTACATTGCTGGGAAATCCCAGTGAGAATTAACTATTTTCAAAACCAGTGATCCTCCTCAGAATTATTCTTATTCCAGGCTTTTAGAGTTCATTGCTAAGAATGTCCTGCTGATATGTTTAGGGTTTACAGAGATTTAAAAAAAAAAAAATTTATGGGGACTTGCAATCCAGTTTTTTAAATGAATATCTGTGCTATTTGTTTTAGCCTGGTAACTCATCAGGATTCTTGAGATCATCTGCCTTAAAAGAAATGCCTTTCAGAGTTCATATGATACATGCCTGTTTATATCATGTGAGCAGTCACATTGCTTTAGGCAGAAAAAATACATTTGTAGATTGTCTTCTATTTCTGATAATCCAAGGACCATACAAGTCTAAGTCTAAGTTCATCTTTTCAGTTTTCATTTTGGATCCAAGTAGTTTTATAAATAACTACATCCAACTGGTATAAATATGTAGTTATCTCAGTTGTCAGAAAGTCGCAGTGATAGGTTGAAAACATTTTTAGACTTTTAAAGAATGTTTTTCTAAAAAATTAAGTCATCTCTGGTTTAAAGTTTAACAGTTGCCAACAGTGATTGTAATTGTACCTGTGTTAGCTATATAGTACAGAAAATTAAGCCTCAGATTTATTTCATCTCCCCAAGTGACAGTAGTTTCATTTCTCTCTTCCATTCATAATAAGTTCATTATTAATTTTTCATATATAACAACTCAACCTCCATTCCTTTGTTTTTGAAGCATTATTTTAAAAATAAAAATTAGCATAGGTGTGGTTAATTGCAAGTGCAAGTAAGGGAAATTTTAACTACTTAGTGTCACTTTCAGTGTCATCTGTCTTCTATCGGCTTTTAGAAATCAGTTTTGCCAATAGTGACACAAAATTACTACTTTCTTCTATATCTCAAGGCAGTGCAAATTGTACTAGCTCATTCAGGAAATGTTTCAGCTGTAAATCAAGAACCAAGAAAATGTTTATGTTCTAGTACTTTGTAATTCCACTTCTGAAAATTTATATAAAATAATTGAAAAGTCAGTGAACCAAAGTAAAACACTGGGGACATGATTGAATTATGGCAGATGTAGTGTTTAGAATGTTAAGCAGACATTAAAAAAACAATTATAAAGACTAACAACACAAAAGATGCTTAGAATACTGAGAGTAAAATACAAAATTCTACTTTTTTTTACAACTGTCTGAAGTTATATATATGTATATGTTACATGTAAAGAAATACTGAAAGATGGAAACTAATATTGGTTATGGGATTGTTGCCAATGGACAATTATTTAAAACCAACTGGGTTGACAGGAATGGCTTCTTCTAGTACTGTGTCTTAAAAGAAAAAAATTCTGTAAACAGAATAAATTTCATTGTTTTCTATAGAAAACACTGAAATGTTCTACATAGTAATGGCCTACAGGGTAATTCTAACACTTGAAGAATTTTTAAAGGGAAGTAATTTTTGTAGAGCTGTGATTTACATTTTTAGCTTCTTAGACTCTCTGCACTTGTTCATTTTTTAATTGTATTAAAGTCAAGTCAAGGCATATCAGAGATGAAGGCATACCCTATCCAAATATTTTAAGTGACAAAATCAGCCCTGTAACATGATGTTGGTTGTCATGCTGTATTTGTGTTTTTCTTTCCCAGGCTCTATCAAAGAAAGCAAGAGATGGGAAACTGTTACCTGAAGAATACCAAGGAGGATCTTTTAGGTAAAATTTAAACTCTTAATTATCAGTAGCATCAAACAGATAACAGACCTAGAAGTCTGTGTCATCAGTCTGTTTAATTCATTTTTTTGAAACACTTTTTTTAATTGAAGCAACATATCAAGGCTAGTAGGAACTCACTAGGGTTAGCTACTTAATTCTTCAGGTACTCTCAGAATGACATCCAGTTTCTGCAACTTTAAAAAAATATATTTACAAATACAATACGTTTATAAACCTCAACTTTTTCTACTTGTGCTCTGTTATTTTAAGGCACTTTGGAGGAAAATAGTGACACTTAGGCCCTTTAGTTATTATCAGCTCTTTTTTTAAGTGTCACACACAGTGTGTATACTGAGTATAGTATGAATGTTTCAAAAAGTGGAGAAACCTGTATAACCAACCAAAGCAAGATATAGACCATTACCAGCATCCCAGAAGCTTCCCTTACCTTGCCAAAGTAACCACTATTCTGAAAATTATCACCATAGACTTGTTTTGCTCCCTGTGGTCTTTATATAAATCAAACATATTCCTTAGTGTCCGACTTCTTTTACTCAACATTAATGTCTGAGATTAACCACATTGCAGTGTGAAGCAGTTATTATTGCAGTATATAGTATTTTATCATATGTTGTATGAGTATGCCACTATCCATTTTACTGTTGGGCATTTGTTGTTTACAGTTTGATGCTATTACAAATAATGGCACTATGAACATTCTTTTATTAGTGTCTTATGGTGAGTATATTTGTTTATTGACCTGAAGTGAAATCCCTGAATTAAAAGCCTTAATGGACACTGCCCAACAATTTTCCAAAATGTTTTTCCAAATCTATACTTATAATAACAGTGTATGAGAATTCTCATTGCTTCATATTCTCACCAACACTTAGTAATGTCAGGTTTTAAATTGTAACAGTTCTTAGAGCATGTTTTTGTACTCTTTGTGGTCGGGGAAATGCAAATTAGTGATGCTGAGTACTATTTTCATTTATAGCCTTTTGGGTATCTGGTAACTTATCAGATAAAGTACCTGTTGATGCCTTTTGTCCATTTTTAAAAATGGAATTTGAGGGTTCTTATTTCCAGATACACAGACCTTTATAGGATACATACTATTTCAAATACATTTTCCCACTCTGTCCCTTGCTCTAGGAACTTTCTTCAAGGTGTTTCTAATGAACACAAGTTCTGAATTTTATTTCCTTTTTTTTTTTTATTTTTATTTTTTATTTATTTATGATAGTCACACACAGAGAGAGAGGCGCAGAGACATAGGCAGAGGGAGAAGCAGGCTCCATGCACCGGGAGCCCGATGTGGGATTCGATCCCGGGTCTCCAGGATCGCGCCCTGGGCCAAAGGCAGGCGCCAAACCGCTGCGCCACCCAGGGATCCCAAGTTCTGAATTTTAATGAAATTTTATTCATTAGTATTTTTTTTACAGTTGGTACTATTTGTTTTATGTGTGGAATTATTGCCTATCCCAGAATCATGAAGTTATTTTTCTGTTATTTTCTAGAAGCTTTATAACTTTTCACATGTAGATCACAATCTATCTAAAACTGGATTTTGTATGTGATATGAAGATAAAAGGTCATGATTCTCCCCCCACCCCCCATATGGATATTATGTTGACCCAGCATCACTTATGGAAAAGCTTATACCTCCATGGCACTGAAAGTGTGTATGTGTTTGGTCTCTTCTGTATTCTGTCTTTAATCGGCTAGTTTGTCCATCCCTTGCTCAATACCACCAAACTGTAACTTTTGATATCTGGTGAGGAAAATCTTCTAATTTTTTTCACCCTCACAGTTGTCTTTCCTGGCTCTTTATATTTCCAAATAAATTTCAGAATCAACATATCACTTTCCGTATATAGACACATACATAGAAACTTTACTGGAGGTTATTTTTTTAAACATTTTATTTATTTATTTATTTATTTATTTATTTATTTATTTATTTATTTATTTATTTATTTATTTATTTATTGGGGGAGAGAGTGTGAGCACAAACATGAGTGGGGGGAGGGACAGAAGGAGAGGGAGAGAGAGAATCTTAAGCAGACACCACACTGAACTCCGAGCCTGATGCAGGGCTTGATTCCAGGACTGTGAGATCATGACCTGAGGCAAAAATCAGAGTCAGATGCTTAACTGACTGAGCCTCCCAGGCACCCCAACCTTGCTGGAGTTTTGATTGGGATTGCATTAAATCTTTTGATCAGTTTGAGGAGAATTGACATCTTTACAGCATTGAGTATTCTAGGTAGTGAACATGGTATAAACCATTGTTTATTCAGTTCTCTGGTTTCTTTCAGTTCTGTTTTGTAATCTATATAGAGGTCTTATATTTGTTTCATTAGATGTATTTCTTAATATTTGGTTTTTGCTACTGTTGTAAATTTTAAAATTTCATTTTCTAACTACAGCAACGTGTATATAGATATAAAATAGTTTTTTATATTGACCTTTTTATCTAGTGACTTAGCTAAATTCACTTATGAATCCTACTAGTTTATCTGTAGAATCTTCGGTTTTCTGTGTACACACACTCAATTCATTTGTGAATAATGATTTTTATTCTTTTTTCCAGTCCTTCTTATATTTTAATTATTTCTTTTTCTTGTCCTAACCCACTTCCAAGGACTTCCAGTTCATGCTGAATGAATGTTCATATTAGATACACTATTTATAAGTGTGTTGTTTTTTGATACTGCTGTAAATAGTTATCTTTGTCTTTGGCCTTGGAATAACTTGGTAAGATTCTATATCACAGTGTTTTAGTAGAATGAGAACATGGGCTTCTGGAAGAGGGTTCTTTGATTAAGGATATGCCACTTTCAGAGCTTTTTGTTTTCCCCTAGTATTTCCAATTTGGGCATGTTTGGCATCGACGAATTTACTGCAGTGATCAACCCTCCTCAGGCCTGCATTCTGGCTGTTGGGAGATTCCGACCTGTGCTCAAGCTCGAGCAGGATGAAGAGGGGAATGACAGGCTGCAGCAGCGCCAGCTTATAACAGTCACAATGTCAAGTGACAGCCGAGTGGTGGACGATGAACTGGCTACCAGGTTTCTTGAAAATTTTAAGGCAAACCTGGAGAATCCTATCCGACTGGCCTAGTCCTCCAAAATAAGAAGTTGGCTTTGGCTTAGTTAATTGTATAGCTGTTACCAGAATCTACACTGTAGGAAAACAATTAGGTATATAAGCGTGATGTGGGTGAGTTGTTTATTTATTTAAAAAAGGTGAATGAGTTTGGCCCAGGTTGTCTTCATTTTCAGTTTGGGTTTAATGGTGTAGAAATAAATAAACTGTAACTAATAAAAAAGAACATTTGGTTAGTCAGATCCATTTTTAACCTCTGGTGCTGTACTAAAGTGGAATTAAACTTGATGTAAATTAAATGTTGGCTCATTTGAGCATTTTAGACAATATTATGAGAATGTATAATAAATTATAAAGTCAAAAAATTGTTAGAACTAATTATGTTGAAGTTAGAAGTGATCTTCAAAGAGAAGCCCATTAATTTAAGCAGTGGGACCTCACTTTTTATAAGCCCTGCTCTAGATATACTTGAACAATTTAATATATGTACAGTTTATTCTGGATAATAGTAAGTAAGGATCACATTGTATTAGGGGTTATGGCAACATTATTGAATTTTTTATGTATATAAAGCCATAGGTCTTAGAGTGGTTTCTATCAATCTTATTTTTCACTTCTATGACACTGTGAACTTCTAAAGAAGAATTAAAAAGTCAAAAATAAGAGCGAGAGAGAGACCAAAAAATTTGTTTCAGTAATAAACTATAGTTAAGATACCTAAACTTTCTGAAATAAACTATTCATCTTCATATTAAGTTGGAATATATTAAAATAAATTATGCTATTTCCTACCAAACATTTTAAATTAGTGTTACTTTCAACACAAAATGTTGGGTTTTTTAGTGCATTTTAATCAAGTTTGTATTGTGCAATAAAATGTGAGAAAAAAATAAAAATTCTACTGTATTTTAAATGTTAGGACACGGAAGTTTAGCAGAACCTTGAAGTAGGTTAGTAATTTGCCTGAAACAGCTTATAAGGAATTCTACAGGAGGAAAGATATGATGATATTAGGAAAACAATGGATATGGAATATAAACTTTGAAAGAGAGTGGAAGGGAAAGTTTTCAAAGTAGGCAAAGGACTCTTCTTTTTATTCTGTCAGTAGTATGAAATTTTCACTAATTATTCTAAAAATTAGAAGGGCTTATTTTTCCCTATTAGCAACTTTGCTACAATTCGCAAGTTAACTGTACTGAAATTGGGTAGTAATTTAATTCACCACTCCCAGAAAGGCTTGTGTTAGTGTCTGCTGCCAGAAATCACAAGAAAAAAGGCCATGTGGTAGACACCACATTACTTAGACTCTGTCAAAAGAGCTTCTAAAACAACTAGGGCCCCAATGTATCAATTGTTAAGAATACACATAACCCAATTACTCAGGGTTAACAAGAGTAGTAGTCTTCCAAAGTAGTCTTCAAAACTTTTGTTATAGTGACAGTTACACTGAAAATTATAACCAAATGCTTTTTTCAAAATAACTTTTATAAGTTACAATTACTTATGGTTTTAACTGAAATTATTTGTTTTTTTCCTAATTTTTAAAAAGCATTTTATTTATTTATTTAGAGAGCATGAGCAGGAAGGAGGGGCAGAGGGAGAGGGAGAGAGAGAATCTCAACCAGACTCCGAGCTGAGCATGGTGTCCAGTGGCAGGGCTCGATCTCATGACCCCAAGATCACGACCTGAGCTGAAATCAAGAGTCAGACACCTAGCTGACTAAGCCACGGAGGCGCCCCATTGTTTTTTCCTAATTTTTGTATCTGAGGAACAGAACATGAGACAGACATATATAAGCGCTGGTGTGGAATTCTGTTTCCCATGCACCGTTGTGCATAAGCAGTGGTGCATCCATTTACCTATGAGCAAAATGGGCGCTAATGCCTGGTGCAGCCTGCCTTATTAAGTTGTGAACTACACAGGAGGAATGCAGTGTACATTTGAGACATTTTGATTTTTCATAGGTTGACATCTTAGCTTTTGGTACAAATGCTCATTTGCTTGAATATTTATATTGACTATATAAGGAAATTGCCATAACACTGATTTGAGAAAGAAGAACGGTAAGCTTGGTTTGGGTTACTATGCAGAACAAACTATGCACTACACAGGCAGGCTCCCTTCCCACCCCCATTTTATTCATTTATTTATTTGTATTTATTTATAAATAGTTATATTATATTGTATGTATATAATAGATATTTACTTGTACTGATAGTTATCACATTGAGAGAACATAAACATTGAATTTAATATCTGGTCATCTTTTTTCTCATTTAAACAGGGAAAACATGTAAAATATTGGGAAGACTTCTAAGAAAAGGGTGATAACACATTTCAGTTAACACTTGGGCATGAAAATAAATATCAATGAATATTAGAATTTGAAAGTCAAATGGCCCTGCTTCTCCAATTGCAATTTCTGGTTGACATTAACAAATGTAGTTTTGTTCACTGTTCTGTGAATATCAGTATAGTGATGTGGAATCAGTATACTGTGCATCAGTATACTGCTCACCCAGCTTTTTTGTTTGAAACATTACTAAGAGATTTATATGGACTGGAACAGATACCTTGGTATATCGTGTCAAATGGAACTTTTATTTTTAGACTTTTTTTCGTTTGTATTTGCATTTTGGACTTAATTTCACAGTAAATTGTATAGGCCAGACATCATTTGGGCATTCTGTTCAAAGTAAACCTAGTTTTCTAACCTTTTAATTGAAAGATAGGTGGTGCTGTGAGTTAATGGATTGTAGTTAGAGTGTGAGAGAAGAATTAAAATAGCATTTAAATCTTCGTGTTGAAAGGAAAGGTGTCCTCATTACACACTGCATCACGATGGACTTTGTCTCAGGTGACCTGAAGAAGGAAAAGAAACAAGTATGTTTCAGGTAAGAATTAACCATTAATTTTAATATGACCTTACCAATGGGAAAATTCTGTTGATTTTTAAAGAAGGAAGTAACTGCACAATTCCTATAAGCTTAGTCTGGCCACAATGTGCAAAGGCAGGTCAAAACAAGGAGAGGACAGCAGTCAGCAGGAACCATCTGGAAGCTATTGCGTTAATGAGAGCGTGAATTGACTAAATTCTCCACTAGGTCAGGGGGCTTTAAAGAAGAGAGAAAATGAAGAATATTGTAATGTTAGTTTGCTGTGGTGTATTATGAATATATGGGGTGGGCATGTGCTGTCAGGTGATGCAGCAAGAATGATGTAATTTCCTGGGCCAAAACACAGTCCCCCAAGGCCAATGTCACCGGTCTCCAAAAGGTTAAGTTTTATGTCCAGCAGATGGTATATCTCCATTTAAACTTTTTATAAGTGTAAAAAGTAGCAGTCTTCCAATAAAATAATTTTAAATTGTTTTGTGGACTTTTATGTTGTGTTTTCTAGCACTTCCATTGGTTTCAGCAGATGGGGACAGGCGCAGGGTTGGAGGAAAGGTGTGGTTTGTCTAGACTTGTAATATTGAATGAAATTATAAGGCATAAAGATGTGTTTTGAAAAATAATGATTAGCGTCTGTTAGTAGCAGTCTTTTATTCTTTGATCATATGAAAAGCTTACTTTCACATTCTATCACTCATCTATATTTTTTGCAACATGTTCAAGCAGCCTTTCCTTCCTCGGAAAGCAGATACTTTTAAACTTCTAACTTACCCTCTACTACATATGGCATATACAACTAAAGGAAACCTGGACTTTTTTAAAAAAGATTTTATTTATTTATTCATGAGAGACACAGAGAGAGAGAGAGAGAGGCAGAGACACAGGCAGAGGGAGAAGCAGGCTCCATGCAGGGAGCCCGATGTGGGACTCAATCCTGGGACTCCAGGATCATGCCCTGGGCCAAAGGGGCAGGTGCTAAACCCCTGAGCCACCCAGGGATCCCCGGAAACCTGGACTTTTATTAAAAGTTGAGAAATTATTCACAAAGTCATTAATTATGGTGATTTGCCTTTATTTACACATAATTTATTTTTCTGAAATTCCTTGATTTGTGGAATTCTTTATTGCTAAAGAATTTTTATCACTAAAAAATCAGTCTTTTAAGGATAAGGCTGTTGTGATCAAGTGAAATACTAGTCATAGCACTTATAGAGTATTCTATAAATGTAAGTTGTTAAATGTTTAATGGCATAAGTTGCATTTATTCTATATTTTCAGTGGCTCATCAACAGTCTGGTAATGAATGACATTTGTCAGGAGAGTATAGGATAGCACTTAATAAATTACTCTCCTCCATAGAACTGCGTTAGTACATGTTTTATCCCCTGGTTTGCACACTTAGCACCTATAAAACGCTATGCTCTTGGCAAGAATTTTATTTATTTCTGTGCCTCAGTATTCTTACCTATAAAATGAAGAAACAAGAGGGAAAACTAACCACAGTGGTTGCTGATCTTTTTTAACATCATCTCAATTCTTTAAGGTAGGTGATCTATCCAGTTTTGACATCATCATCGCAAGACGAGGTAATGAAACCAACTCAGAGCTTATATCCTTCAGCTAAAGGCACACGGGTGGCGCAAAAAAAAAAAAAAAAAGGGCACACAACTCAGATGCCACAGCTGAAATGAACCCAGGTCCGTGCAGCACCCAAATTCAAGCTCGCCACAGTGCAGTATATAGCTGTGTGAATTGTAGTACTGTTGCCGAGTTAGTTCAGTTTTCGCGTGTTAACACATCTTCCACTTGGAATAACTGAAGGTCCCATTCCTCAGTCCTGACACTGACGTGTTTGCTATGTGACCACTCTTAAATCAGCTCCTAGTTTTTCTGTAGTAGTTCACTTTGTATCTTTCTGGTAATTGTTGCAGAAAGTGCTAAGGTATTCTTGTTTTTATATGGACAACTCCTGTTCACCTGAGGTGCTGAACTTCAGTATTATAACTTCTCCCTCTGAATGGAAGGCTTAGAACAATACAGACTTAAACTTGGGGCTGAGTTCCTCTGAGGATAAAAACATGATCTAGAGAACATTTCACTTTTAATAAATACCTTAGAATCTGGTCCCAAGTTCAGAAGCAAAAGTAGTTCTCCCATTTTTCATGTGGAGGCCCCAGACTTCTGTGATGACAACCATATCAGTCAGGATCCAGTCTTGTATATTGACCTGATTAGTCGGGAACACTGGTTGCAATTCACTGTCTGGCAGAGTCCATCGGGCTGTCGAGGCCAGATAGGCCCACATTCACCAGGGAAATAGGAAGCAGCCCTACAGGGCACAGGTGAGGCTCAGCCAGTGGACTGTTACACCACGGGGTCAGGGTGGCACGGTGGGTGGGAGGCTTGGAGTGCATGGTATCTGAATATTGAGAGGACCATGGGAACATGGTGTTGGCAGGGCCATTCTGGACAAATGGCAGGGGCAAAGACACCTGCTTGTACCCTCGTGTGTCTTCTGAGAAAGCCTAACATCGTTCTTGCAGTTAAAGGGGAACTGCTTAAAATAATTGCATTCATTATTTTAGAGCAGGCATTGAAGGGTAAATTTGAAGCTGAGAGACAATGAACTAGTAACTGACAAGCCCAACCAGAAAGGGGGTGGGGAATAAAATGTGATGTCATTATTTTGGTGGTGGAATAACGCCAAATAATAAGACAGCTCAAGCATAGCAGTCTCTGTTAGACCTGCTTTGTGGGCAGAAATCTGTGTAAGCTAGAGGTAATATTGAAAATATTTCATTTCAAATAAGTTCCCCTATTTCCTAGAGACAGTTAACTAAAGTGTGAAACAAAAGTAAAATGTGAAATTGAATATTCATTCGGTAGTGGTGAGCATCTCCTGTGCATCAGCACTTAGGATTTACAGCTAAATCGCCCTCAATCAACTTAAACTCCTATAAGCAATAGGCAACTCAGTCACGTCCATTTTCAAAGTATATGCATAGGGCCTGGGTTGAGAGGTAGACTTTGTTCAGGAGATAACATTTGAAGCAGGTTTTAAGTGCTTTTAAGCCCACCTCCCCTTTTGTTTTCTGACTTCTCAAATTTCAGTAGCCAAATATTTGGCACCTTTTACATACCTAATGTATAAGTGTCAGCAGTCCATCCTGCATGACCTTGACCCAGTACCTATACACATCCTTCCAGTAACTTTAACTCCAACAGAACTTAGAAACTTAGTTGGAAGGAGAGCTACTCCTTGGGCAGTTGTGTGGGCAGAGAAAACTTTACATCCCTTTACCTGCAAGAAAATGTTCTTGCCAAGGTCTTCATGCCTAAAGAAGGTTAAGTGAGTTTAGGAATAAGCACTCATGCCTGGTTTAATTGAAATATATTTTAATATTACCTCTTTCCCTACCTCTTCGCCAGCCTCTGCTTTTTTGAAGGTATCTTGTGCATGCAAATGCCTTCTGATAATGGAGTAAGTAATCGCCAGGACACACACCTCTTTAGGTACCTTCAGGCTCATTGTTTCACATCTCAAGGGCCATCTGTTAAATTTATTTTCAGAGAATCATGATGACCTTTGCCGTCTCTAGCTAACTGAGCAAAATGATAGTAACAAGTGAAAAATCAAGTTTTATTTTTATCATTCAGTATATTTATTGCTAAGTATCAAATTAGTAGGTTCTGAGGCCAACTTCATTTGCCCATGAGCCCTATGCAGCCCCCCTCTGCTTCCTCCGCAGTTAACTTGATTTCATTACTTAATACATTATGCAATCCATGGGCATTTCATTTTGACACCAAGTCATCTATTAATTACTGGTAAAGTAATAAGAATGCATTTTATCTCAACCTGTTAATTAAATGCTAATCAGAACTGAGTTTCCAGGTATTCTCATACTTTTAATGCTTTGATACAACTTCAGAAAAGTGAAAATATATGCTAAGTTTTATAGATATATCTGTTCCTGAAAGCAGATTCAAACTCTCCTTTTAAAATTTCAATTTTGAAAAAAAAAAAATTAAAAATAAATAAAAAATAAAATTTCAATTTTGGCCGCTTTTCAGAAGCCATCATTCCTTTATGCTGAGAATATATGAGCCTGTGAATTTGGCAAAATGAAAACTCAGTATTCATTGGGAGATTAGGGCATTGGTATGTGTGCTTCCTCGTTTCCTAAAGGAATCCTCATAACTTTGGGAAGTATTAGAAGGAATAGCTTCCTAAAGTGTTTTAAAAGTGGAAAACTGATCAAATAAATAAGCACATATTAATAAAAACCAAAGTATTCTTTTACTTGGGAAATCCTGTTCAGGACATATGTTTTCCAGGCAGATATTTTGATACAGTTTTTCTAGTTATTAGTTTTCATTAAGTAGATGCAGACCTTTTCTCTTCTCCCAACCACACATATGCTGAGCGCCAAAATATAATAATATGATTCAAATGGCTAACTTATTGTCTTCCACACATTCTTCTGAATGCTTTATAAAGTATTATTAACTCATTAAATCCTCACAACTGCCTGATGTAGGAATCAGAACTATCAGTACTTCACAGAGGACATGTTAGGTAGCTTGTCTGAGATCAGACACCAAGTGGTGATGACAGGAGTCAAGGCAGGCAGTCTGGCCCCAGACCCTTGCAAAAGAATTCTCTTGTTAAAGATGCCAGTCTCAGGAAATTCTGGAGCTAAGCACATGACAAAGACACGAGTTGAGGAAATGCCTCTCTGTGAACTCAGCATCTCCTATAGGAATATCATAGAAATGAGTCTGGCTAAAGCCAAAGTAATCTGACATTTAGTGTCCTCTAGATTTTTGTATTAACGAGTGATGTGTTCCTTTAATTTTCTGATTCGTGAAGGGATGGTAGCTCATGTGGATGAGTAATCAAACAGGACGACACCTACACATTCTTATATGCAGGGCAAGTTTTTGGGTGATGACCAGAGTTCTTTAGTTTTTCTATGAGATAACAAGTCATGGATAAAGAAATATCTAATCATTTTAAAAAAAAAACATAGTGTCTTTGTACTTAAAAGTACATGTTCTTTCTATGCAGATACCAGATAAGATACCAGACAGATACCAGGTTAGTAGAAACATATCTTGATTTTTCCTGGATTGTTTTGCAAGTATCTTGGGTATGTTTTTGTTTGAAGTATTATACAGCACCCCTCTCATCCTTATTATCACTTTCAAGGCTATTAATTCAAATTAATTATGTCAATACGTCACACAAGGCTCTTATCTGGTAGGATTCCTGGCTGATTGGATTTCTCACATCTTCCTTCCTTCCAATCCCCGAATGTGTGGTCTGACCTTCATCAAAAACATTCCTTTTTGAAGGGCCTGGGGAATCTTGTTGGAGCAGTTCTGTGACTAGGTTTCAAGAACATACTAATGAAGTAAAAATGTTAACATTCATCAGGATTAACATAACATCATGCTATCTAGAGGATGAGA